TAATGATGCTGGGCGTTAGCCATGGTGGGTGTCCTCCAGATGCGACGGTCTTCTCTCACACACAAACCAGTCGTTGTATCAGTGAGGAGCCTCGAGGCTCAGTGAGGCTTTCCCTGGGTAAATGATTGTCATTGATATATTTATTCTGCTGTCCAGGACACCCTCAGATGCGTCACACGGTGAGACCATTTTGCCGGTGGCCTGAACATGGCCCTGGCTACGGCAAAAGCAGGGCTTTTGCCAGAGGTGATTAACTCGACTTGACACCAGGGCCTGAGCCAGAACAGACCTTGAGACCAGAGATCTGAGCGGCTTGGCTTTCGTTGCATCCGCAAGATATTTATGGAAAGAGCACAACCCCATAGTTCGGGCTAGCAGCCAAGTGCAAGGCTACGTTTTATATTTTGAATCATAAATATTCTCTGAAAGCTTTAAGATCGTTTCGGTTATTGGATGCACATCCATGATTGTATTGTACACAATTGAATGCTGATTTTAAAAAATACACGTACTGAAGTTGTTTTCCTGAGCATAGCCAGGGGCACTGACTGTGACATATTTTTTGTTGTATGTTGTTCAGATGCCGTGTACCCTGGTTCTGTGCTTTCTTGCGCATATTTTGTTGAAAAAAATATATATATAATGCATTCATAGTCAGGGGTCCGTGTAGAATACAACTTGAAGCCGATGTGTGAGGCATCACAACCACACGTTTGTGAGCGCATGTGTAAAGCTTAAAACCCATGAATAATAAACAACTCAGTGTTCACCTTCTATTTAGAGCCTAAACGGGAGTGTATGTGCGTCGGATAAGGACGTGCAAAACTGTGAACACACCGCAACATTTGGCGCATCCCTTAGCTCGAGGTCCAATTCTGCTGACTTTGCACACGATCTCTCACAGCAACCTATTGCATTGACTTAGCCAGCAATGAGCATAGACAAACCAACATATCCTCTCCAGGGCGGTGGGAATTCCCATAACAGGAGAGATTGATTTATTTATTTTGCGATACATTGAATCTGTCGCGCGCAGCACAAATGCCAACGCGCGCTCAATCATCGGTGGCGCAGGTCGCCAGGTGCGCGGTGTTTGAGGCACGCGGTCCCACCACCACCCACCTCCATGATGGGGGTGGGCAAAGGCCACCTTTGGCAACCAGGCTCACACAGTGCGGCCAGAGCCGAGAGGAGTTCCTGCTCCGGGAGACGCGTTGTCACGAGGAACGCGCAGACGACCGATGTCCGTGCATTGCTAATGCCGCAGGCGGCGCCGAACGCAAAGGAACTGGAAAAAGAGGTTCAACAGTTGTACAAAGGTTGCGAAACGAACGCGATTATTTTATTTTAATTTTTTTTACAAACAAATTGGATTTTAAACTTGCTTGACTTAAAATCCTTGTGTGCCAGATCATTCCATTAATTCCATTTTAACATGGTGGACTTTAAAATTGAATAAAATTATGGCGATGCAATCGCAAAGTACCACGTTTTAAAGTCTCGTATTTTAGTTTTCCAAAAAAATGTTTTTCCTAAATAAAGCTACATTTTTCTTACATAAGTTTGTACACTGGCTGAATGGGCATAAAACTTCAGCCTAATGTAAAATGCACTTGTGGTTGAAGGAAGTGCATGCACTCTACATCAATTACACTTCCAAAGCACATTGGATAAAACAATTGTCTGCAGAGTGAATGCTTGCCATCGTTGGCGGATGGGAATGGATAGGAGGTTGAGAAGACTTTGACTGTGAGAAGATGGAGGTGAATAAGGGTTGCGACACAACCTAAACGCATCATCCCGTCCAATCGGTCTCCAAGTAATCTTGTGTCCAAGATTATTTTTTGTGAATTCGTTTGTCGTCCTTCCCCCGCACCTCCGATTAGTACGGTTGGCTAAGTACGGTGCGAAAATAAATTCAACATACATGACACATCTGGCTTTCCTGAATACATTTCGAATACGCCCGTTTCCAACTGGCACATCTGAGCCAAGCCACCGCGGGTTCCCGCACGGTACGGGCGGTTGCTCCACCGGCTATTTGCAGAGCCTAGTCGTGACCACACCGCACTACGCTGGTCTCACGAAACATCGGAATCTGGCTCAGGCCCAAAAAGGGCCAGGGGTGGAGTTAATAACGCATCATTGCATGTGATGTCAGTTAATAAGCTGGGAGGTCACCGCGTCGTATATAATACGCGTCTCGACTCGTTCATTGTGTGTGACATTCGTACGACGTGACGGCGTCACCGCATCATCTATACGCATCTTGACTTGTTTATTGAATTTGACGCCAAAGGCATGGCTCGGGCATCTGACCCGTGCTGGGCTGGCTTGGCGCGGCCCAAGCATGGCTCGGATGCAACAGTGTAAAAAGGGGCTAATGAATGCTAGCACCATTGTAGTGAGCCCAAGTCTGGTATTGAATGTGAATGTCAGCCCATTGTATGGTTGCTACACATACCGGTGCTGGAACTTAGAAGCTACAAACCAACCATATTCTCAGTTTAACACGTAGGCTTTCGCGACCAATATTATTCATAATAAAGGTTTTTGGGTTAGATCGCGTTATTTATAAATGTGTCGTGACCCTCCACCACCCGACACGGCCAATCAGCAAAAAAGTGTCACGTTGACAAAAGGCAAATAATTCACTATTTTAGCCCACCGGTGTGTTTGAATCCACAACATTTACAGTTTGAGTACGACGTTTCGCTGGTAATTACATCCAGCATCATCGAGTAATTCGCCAGAATGCTAAAGCCCTCGCTTGCTCCCGGTCTTAAATAGAGCTGCAGGGTGACGTCATCATTTAACTCATTTCAGGTGCAGTGATTTGAGGCGGAGTGGGGGCTGGAGGGTTACGACACATTTATAAATAACGCGACCCAAAAACCTTTATTATCAACCATATTCTCACTGAACTCTGAAATTATTTGATACGTTTGGCATGTTCTGGCACACGCGCGACCCTTTTGTCAATCCACCATTGTTGGATGAGGGCCTGCCCACGCCGTGTGGGTTATTTGGCCATACTTCTCCACGCTGGCCAGTGCTTGTTTGTGAAGGTGGAAACATAGATGTGGGAGAATACAGCAAATCAAATGGACATTGCTGCACTGCCCTCATCTGCCGCAAGGTAGCTCCGTAGCCTATATCACCTGTTATCAACATCGTGGTCACCTAATACACGTGCTACCCAGGCTCATATCACGCTCAGCTTCTGATATCTGATGAGATCAGGTGCATTCTGGGTGATGTCATAGACTTGCATAGATATTGTAATATAAAAATTCAACACATTGGTCTATCGCAAGCATTTCGACCAAGACAATTAAACAATTAACTGCCTCCGTAACATGGCTTGCAATTCGCTACATTTTTCAGGATAAGCCCTTGCAGCCAACGCCTTCCACCAACGGTTTACTATGCATTCTGGGTAACTTGGACATAGGCGTGTTGACGTGTGAGCACATTAATCATTGCAAATGACAATCGTATAAACCCAAGACCTACAGTGAGGGAAAAAAGTATTTGATCCCCTGATGATTTTGTACGTTTGCCCACTGACAAAGAAATGATCAGTTTATAATTTTAATGGTAGGTTTATTTGAACAGTGAGAGACAGAATAACAACAACAAAATCCAGAAAAACGCATGTCAAAAATGTTATAAATTGATTTGTGTTTTAATTAGGGAAATAAGTATCTGACCCCCACTCAATCAGAAAGATTTCTGGGTCCCAGGTGTCTTTTATACAGGTAACGAGCTGAGATTAGGAGCACACTCTTAAAGGGAGTGCTCCTAATCTCAGCTTGTTACCTGTATAAAATACACCTGTCCACAGAAGCAATCAATCAATCAGATTCCAAACTCTCCACCATGGCCAAGACCAAAGAGCTCTCCAAGGATGTCAGGGACAAGATGGTAGACCTACACAAGGCTGGAATGGGCTACAAGACCATTGCCAAGCAGCTTGGTGAGAAGGTGACAACAGTTGGTGCGATTATTCGCAAATGGAAGAAACACAAAAGAACTGTCAATCTCCCTTGGCCTGGGGCTCCATGCAAGATCTCACCTCGTGGAGTTGCAATGATCATGAGAACGGTGAGGAATCAGCCCAGAACTATACGGGAGGATCTTGTCAATGATCTCAAGGCAGCTGGCACCATAGTCACCAATAAAACAATTGGTAACACACTACGCCGTGAAGGCCTTAAATCATGCAGCGCCCACAAGATCCCCCTGCTCAAGAAAGCACATATACATGCCCGTCTGAAGTTTGCCAATGAACTTCTGAATGATTCAGAGGACAACTGGGTGAAAGTGTTGTGGTCAGATGAGACCAAATTGGAGCTCATTGGCATCAACTCAACTCGCCGTGTTTGGAGGAGGAGGAATGTTGCCTATGACCCCAAGAATACCATCCCCACCGTCAAACATGGAGGTGGAAACATTATGCTTGGGGGGTGTTTTTCTGCTAAGGGGACAAGACAACTTCACCGCATCAAAGGGACGATGGACGGGGCCATGTACCGTCAAATCTTGGGTGAGAACCTCCTTTCCTCAGCCAGGGCATTCAAAATGGGTCGTGGATGGGTATTCCAGCATGACAATGACCCAAAACACACGGCCAAGGCAACAAAGGAGTGGCTCAAGAAGAAGCACATTAAGGTCCTGGAGTGGCCTAGCCAGTCTCCAGACCTTAATCCCATAGAAAATCTGTGGAGGGAGCTGAAGGTTCGAGTTGCCAAACGTCAGCGTCGAAACCTTAATGACTTGGAGAATATCTGCAAAGAGTAGTGGGACAAAATCCCTCCTCAGATGTGTGCAAACCTGGTGGCCAACTACAAGATACGTCTGACCTCTGTGATTGCCAACAAGGGTTTTGCCACCAAGTACGAAGTCATGTTTTGCAGAGGGGTCAAATACTTATTTCCCTCATTAAAATGCAAATCAATTTATAACATTATGGACATGCATTTTTCTGGATTTTGCTGTTATTCTGTCTCTCACTGTTCAAATAAACCTACCATTAAAATTATAGACTGATAATTTCTTTGTCAGTGGGCAAACGTACAAAATCAGCAGGGGATCAAATATTTTTTTCCCTTACTGTAATAAGCTACTTGTAAAATCGCGTATATTTGTATAATACAGGAGAAAATAAAGTGTGGCGCTGTTGTTTGTAGTTGTTGTTGAAAAGTACACACGCCCACGGAGGCAGAGGGCGGCGGGCAAGCCCTCCCCTCCCGGGAATGCTAGTGCATGGCACAGACAGGCAGGAAATCAATCGGCATCAGAACGACGAAGGCATCGCCACAGAATCCGAAACCTTAGCTATTTGGGATTAACAACAGCCGTGCTGGAGATCGTGTCTGATGTTGAAATGTAAAACGTCTTCAAAAGGCAGAGTGGTCCGTTACTTCCCAGACTTCACATTTCCAAAACATTATTATTATTTTACTACTACATAAAATAAAATAAAAAAAGGTACAGTGCTTGCGTGCGATTGCCAAAGAAGGGTAAATTTCCTTCCGCTGAACAGAAACGCGGCCGATTTGGAACACTCCTCCTTCGCGGCCGGCATCGCTCCGATCACGGAGCCCTCGCCGGGTCCCCGTCGCAAGACGCGCAGCACCGCCCCTCGCTCGTGACGGGCCTGGTGCAGCGCGCGTGTGGGGGGGGGCACGTCTCCACGAAGCACGTCACCTGGCCTCCCTGCGCAACGAAGAGCACGCGAGGGACGGTCCGCGGGCGCCGTCAGGAACCAGCGACACGTGCCGCGTCAGCCTCAGGCAGGCGATCGACTCCCATCACTACTTTCGGGTCGCAACTCAAAACACAACGCGTTTTTGCACTTGCGCAGAGCGCCTAACTCGCAGCGACAAATTGCTTTCCTTGTGACATTTGGAAGCGACTGTAGATGGTATATTTTATTTGCGTTGTTTAGAATTTTCAATTGTCATGTTTACGAGGGTGAACGTTATGTTCGCGCTTTGAGTGGCAGGTTCGTGCCGGAAAGGCGCCGCGCGTTTAAGGAAAAATAACCTCGAATGGACTCGACCACTGCGCTGTAGCTTTCTGCGAATGTGTTTCCGTGTCGCTCCCTGATGTGTTTTCGGGTTGAGCCGCCGTGTGATTCGGCATGATGCCTGACGTTTTATGCCATGCGCTGGGAGCTCCCTCGGCAACCACCGAAGAGCACGTGGAGCGAGATGCCGGACGTCACGCCTGACCGACACGCGGTGCAGCCCAAAAGGACACCGGAGAGCCACTCCTGCAGTTCCATGGCATGGGATATGAAACCTTTTCTGAACCACTGAGCCACATTGAGCTGCGCTTGAATTGTGGCTTGCGTGTATACTACAAGTATTATATTTGTAATAATAATAATATAAAAACACCACTCATCTGTGGCTCTCATTCTATATAAACTGTCAAGACTGATGCACGCCCGGCAGTATTTTTTTTTCGTCGCAGCACTTTGGTGATATACGGCTACATTCTGTCACTGCTCTGACTTTAATGTCCCCACGTGAATTAACATCGTGGCCCCGTCGACTCACCTTGCAGTGGCAGGCGGTGCAGTCGTCCTTTCTCCACTCGTCGTCCTGTGAGCGGACCACCCCCTCGGCATCGACGCAGCCGTCGCTCTGCACACTCCCCTCCAGCTGGCGGATCTGTGCAAATCCGTGGCATCCACCACCACGAGCACCACCACCACCACACAAACACGCTGAGTTACTGCAACAAACTATACACCCACCACCACCAGCACCACCACCACACAAACACGCTGAGTTACTGCAACAAACTATACACACCACCACCACCAGCACCACACAAACACGCTGAGTTACTGCAACAAACTATACACCCCACCACCACCAGCACCACACAAACACGCTGAGTTACTGCAACAAACTATACACCCCCCCACCACCACCACGACCACACAAACACGCTGAGTTACTGCAACAAACTATACACCCCACCACCACCAGCACCACACAAACACGCTGAGTTACTGCAACAAACTATACACCCCACCACCACCAGCACCACACAAACACGCTGAGTTACTGCAACAAACTATACACCCCCCCACCACCACCACCACACAAACACGCTGAGTTACTGCAACAAACTATACACCCAACCCCCCCACCACCACCACCGTGACATGGTGGGATATTATTTATCCGAGTAAATGTGTGCCGCAAGTTATTGAATATTTGCACCATCACTTAACACAAAAAGGGACGGATGCACCTGGCAAAAAGCCAAGCGTGTATGCTGAAGTGATTTACGCATATCTATCCCCGGATGAATGACTTTAGACTTTTCTTTTCTTTTCCCGGTGTCTGTGTGTGCATATGTGCGAAACGCAGCCTGAAGTTTGAAAGTTTGTAGAGTTTGCGACGGATCGCAAACAGAGCTCCAAGTCGACTGGAGGGTTACGCGTACGGAACACCGTGATGGCCGCAGTGTGTACAGAGTACCTGGGCATTTCATTCGAATATTACGTGATTTAAATATGTCAAATAACATATATATTCTTTACAGCCTTTTGTCTATCCACTGCTGGGTGAAGATAAAGTCAGCCCTGGGGTTTGTTCGACCATTCTTCACCACACTGGTCAGCGTGGGTTGGCGAATTTGTTTAGCGATCACTCGCTGCTGATGTTCAACCGTGGCTGGGAATAGTTGCAGTGCACTGCGGCCCAAGTCACCCCGTGCCATGCAATGCTCTGAAATGTCTCGCACAATGAACAGAATTTCATTGCCGGCAATCTCTACTCTCGCGATTGATGACTTTAAAGCTCAGTACCTGCTGACGTAGCGTCCTGATGGTCCTTTGCATGTCGTCCACAAACGAGCGGAAATCAATCTGGTCGATGTCCTGATGCCTCGGGATAGCATTGGCTGAAGTCAAGTTTGAGCTGTGGTTGTGGGCACTGACAAAGCAAAATAAAAACATTCACATCAATCACAGGCTTAATGAAGCCACCATACCCTCACCCAGCTCATACTCAACGAACAAAAAGACGTTCACTGCATCGCGCACTTTCAGATGTTCTTCTGTGGCCGTCTGGAATGCTCTTCCTTCCGATATTATGAAGCCACTGGAACTACGCACTTTTAAACCTATATTGAAAGCTAATTTCTTCAAAACTTATTTTTGTGTTTAGTTTGTTGTCCTTCCCGCGCACCTCCGATTAGCACGGATGGCTACGTATGGTGCGAAATAGGTTCAACATACATACACATACGTACATACTTCTTACCTACCTTACCACCTCCCTAACATCTCCTAAAGATAAAGGTGAAGCCCTGGAATTTCCTGCTCACCAGAGGGAGACCTCCCCATCGGCGGCTGGCTTGTTTGTCCGTACCATGCTCGACCGCGCTGGTCAGTTTACGCTGGTGACGGGGGAAGAGGGGTTAGGACCAGGGCAGACATCCCCTCGCCACTGATGTGAGCCACCGTGGCCGGGAATGAAACTCGGCTTTCCGGAGGATTCATAGCCCAGTGCACTAACGGCTGCGCCATAAGCTCAACCCGAAGGCCCCTCGCATAGCCTAGATGGGCTGTTGGGACAAATACAGGTAGCGAGCGCCTCTTAACGTCAAACGAGGGGAGATCCTCGGTTCAGATATATCCGCAATGACCGGGAGAGTAGGTCTTGGAAGAAAATAAAGTGCTGCTCTGGCGTTTAAAAAAACCAACCAAACCCCGTAAAGAGCGAGGGGCGTGAGAGCGGCGCTGGGCGGACGGCGCTCGGTTTGCGTGTCGTGGTTTGCAGGCTCCGGGGGCCTCTCGACGGCTCGTGCGGGTCAGCAGGACGTCTTTGAGTCCCAGCCGAGACGAGCCAACAACCTCGTCGTCGGCCACGCCAAACAACTCGTTGCGTCTGCAGCCCTCCAGATCCGCGTACCCGGGGACGCGTTCCAGCGCGTCGCGCCTCGGCGGAGGGGGACAACCTCGCCACGTGCCGCGTGACAGACGCGGTAAACTTAGCCGCCCTCGTTTGTCGTCTCTGCGTTGATGCCTGCCGGCGATTTTCGAGCCAAGTCCGCAACGCTTCGTTGCTCCAGCTACCACCACCACCCCATTGTTCAACAATCTGCAGAACCCGAGTGATTACAGTGAGATTAAAGGGTCCTTTACAACGCAGATGTCAGCTCGTAAATCACAATTAATTACGTGAAGCGGTCTTTTCCGCGAACACTTGTGCTTGTGTGCTTTTTTGGAGGCAGGATGTTTTACTTCTATCGGTGCACACTGCCATTGCGGGGGGGAGGGGGGTGATGAGGAATTGATGAAAGCAAAAGTTTCCTGCCAATGTCCTACATCCTCCGCCTTGCTGCCAGGATTACAGCATTCATTTTGGACCGAGCTGACCACGCTTTACACGCGATCATCATCATCGTAGCAAACATGAGGTTCAACGAACAACACACGTGAAAAATAAAAGTACACGTGTGTCTTTCCACATCCCATCGGCGCCGACGCGGCCTTCTGTGAGTTCATCTTGTCACTGGTTTTGACATTCAGCACCTCATCAGCTGAGTCAGGCTCGCTTGAACCAATGCCGGTGAACTGCAAGATGTATTAGCAACAACCGTCTCTCTGTTAGATCTGGCTCGAGCTTTCGACTCGCATTCATTCACGCATCCTTAACGTGTCAAAGCAATGCCACTCCGATATCGTTTCAGGGTTATCCACCTCTCTAGGGGTACCGACTTAGTTAATACTAATTATGTTAACACTGCATAATAATTATCAACTGCTTTACACTTGGCCGCAACCAGAGGGAGAGGCAGATTTAGAATTGTGTTTATGACCACGTGAGGGCCCATCGAGACGACAAGTCTATTTCAGGGGCGCCTGGGTCATGAAAACAAACACAAGTACAGAGCGGCTATAGCAAAGTAAGTCTACAGAACATGGTATTTGTCGACTCCCTCGTCTGCACAGTGAGGCCCTGTGTTGTGAAAGGCACGTTCTTGGGAAAGATGATGACAGTGAGATGGATGTTGATCTGATGATGATGATGATTATTATGTGTGCTGAATGTTAAAATTATTTCGCACCGTACGCAGCCAACCGTGATAATCGGAGGTGATGATGATACCTTTCAACCGAGATTTTCAATCTCAAGGGATTTTACTGGTGAAATATTAAATTAATTGAAAAAAATGATGATCTAATGATGCTTATTATGACGATGCTGACGATGCCCTTGATAATTATGATGTTAAAATGATGATAATGAAGATGACGACCATTATGATAAAATTATTATAAAATAATGACAATAACCGTCATGATGACCATGATGACAATCTAGTAATTCTGATCATGATGACCATGATCAAATCATAATGATGTATGTATGTTGAACTTCTTTCGCACCGTAAGTAGCCAACCGTGCTAATCAGAGGTGATCTAATACTGATGATGATCGAACAATGATGATGACGGTCGTGATGATCGACTGGCGATGATGTTAATGACGACGACGACGCCCCACCTGGCGGGCTGGTGCTTGCCCTGCCGCGTGTCTCTCTCCGGGCCCTCTCCGGGGAAGCTGAAGTGGGCGCTGCGTTTGCCCCGCTGGTGGAACCCCAGCGAGTGGAACTGGCCACGGCTCCTGCAGTCTGTCACAACGGTAAGGGCGGCTCGCGTCAGCCCTGCGGTACGGGGGTACCCGGGGTTCGAATTCATTGCCAACAGCCGGTGGGATGAACGGCAGGCGGGTTCCCGGACAGCACACGGACCGCCCCGACAGCCGGCTCACCGGCTGTCTTCGCGGCTTTCGATGGGCACCCTCAGCAAACGTGAGATAGCTGTTTCACCACCTCAAGGGATTTTGCAGGTGAATTTTTTTTTGTAATAAAAACAAATATATACCTCACGATGTTTTTTTTGTCGTACTGTACTGTGTAAACTGGGTATAAGCACAGTTTTGAGATGAGTAACACGTGCTTACATTGCACTCGTGGGGACAACGTTGACGGGCAGCTTCTGATACAAGCACACTGTGGATATGAACACACAGGGCCTTCCTCGCAAGGGCCGAGCTGACGTGTGTTTGCTGCTGTCGCATTGTACACCGTATATATCTACGTGCGGTGGTGCAGTAGTGCCATGATATCCATGACGGAATAATACTAATGATAATCATGTTAGTATTCTACTTTTTTTCACAAATGTACATACACGCTTGGCACATATACAGAGGCGCGGAAGTTCTGTGTGCGTAAATATATCTCTTGCACTTCATCAATCTGCCTTGACGGTGCAGCCTAAAGGATGGCGCTGTTCACCTGGGCTGTCAGGTTATGGCGTGTAGCCAATTTCAGCAACGCATCTTTGTGGCACGAGCCCAAACAATCTATTTAAAGCCCCTTTCTCGCCTGTCTCCACGCCACAAGTCTGCGAGCCCGCGCTGCACGGGGCCTGCCTGACAGATGACAAGATTCCGAGCAGCATGAAAAAAACATTCCGAATGAAATTCACTGGCATGGCGGCGTTCATGCGTATGGATTCAGCACATTAAAGTGATCAAGTGCGCATGCTTACATCAAAGCGGGCATTCCTTTGTAGCATGTTTCGGACAAAAGTGTAAATGTTGGGCGTCCTGATTATTTCGGAGAAATACATTTTTCTTGACAAACAGAATCGCGGCTTTTCTTGGGAAACTTGAGTGCAGCGCTTCATTTCGACCGGAACAGTCGAGGAACGCTCCTTTCTGAGAATTATTTTGGCAACGACGCAGCCGTCTCGGCGTCTTTTTGTCCTTCTGGTTCCCAATATTCCTAAAAAGCTGCTCACACGAGTGTAGTAGTAATACATGGTGTCACCACGTGGCCTCACGATGGATTGGCGTTCCTTGCACTCCCGTGGCAGTGCCATACGGCGATATCCCTACTCCAAGCCAGCTTAGCAGCGATCAGGCAATCATCGCGTGAAAAATCAACAACTTAATTTTATGAAAGAGTCAAAACAATTTGAATCCTAAACGGCAATTAAACAATGCTTAAAATGCATCCCTCACGAACAAATGTAGGCGTTTATTAATCTCAGCCAGGGCAAAGCCATTCATCAACTGGGCACGTCACAATCCGACTGGGTCGGTGGTTTGAAAGGTCGAGATGAAAGCAAGATAACCCCGTAGCCCTGCGCACCTTCGGAACACGGAGCATGCCCGCTACAAGTTACCGAGAACCAAACGTTAGAAAGGAAAACAACATTGTTTTCAGAATAGTAAGTTAAAATGTCACAGGCTAATGCACTTGTTTTAAAATATGTATGCAAGTTCGCGCTAAAACGTTCAAGTGTCGCCTTTTTTTTATCCTTTGAAGATCTCAAGCGATGCACAGCAGCTCGCAGTCGCTCCCTCCATCTGCGTTGTATTATATCTCGATTATTTTTTCTGATAAAAAGGGAGCGAAAAAGTTCAGCGTGTTGAAACTGTGACGACGAAAAAAAAAAGCACGTAAAAGTGTCAGACAGAGCAGGAGGAGTTACTCGAATAACCTGACAGTAACAGATTTCACTGGAATTAAAAAAAAAGTCAAAAATAGAACAAAGGTGCAAAATTTGAAGCTCGTTTGCATACCGTTGCGATGAAACCCACGCTGCATTCATTTTTTTGTCAGCGAGAAAGAACCACAAATTTGGAGCGCTGCACCTGCCCGCTCACGCCACTGATGGATCGAGGGCCTCCATTAGAGGGCATTCAAGAGAGCCCCTCTCGAGGGTGTTTGGCCTACTCTTCCACGCTGGTCAGACGCCTTGGAAAAGGTGGGAGTACCCGCACGTGAGCCCACCTCACGCTACCTGCCGATCGACCGACTGTGCAGGAGCCATGTATGCGCGGGTATATTTGTGTGTAACTCTGTTGAACTTCTTTCCCACCGCAAGTAACCAACCGTGCTAATCGGAGGCATTTGAGAGACTTGCCCATTCCAACTTCCGCACTGGGAGCTGAAACCAACAACCTTAGCATTGCAGCATGACAACATCCTCAATAACTACACCAGTGAAATGAAATCCACTTTTTTTAAGTTGCTGACTTGAATTCCCCCCCCCCCCCCCAAGAATTCTCAATATTATGCTTCTTTAGTGTTCAGCATACATTTGATAACAGTTGCTGGAAACAAAACAAGAAAGAAGCTCAATACGAACAAAAAATAGACACGCGCTCACAGTCCCGCTTTATCAGCTTGTCGTGTGCACTCCCACATACACCACACAATACTTGCCGTGGTGCTTAATAAACAAAATAGTTTGAATACTGAACGAAACTTTACGGATAGGAATTACATCCTCTGCAATAATAATGCAGATGCACAGCATTTATGTACAGCATAGCACAGCTCATTATCAATCCACTGCTTGTTGAAGGCCTCCCCCATGACATGTGGGTCACAGCAACTGTTAGTCCATACTTCACCAAGCTGGTCAATGCAGAGTGAGGTGCCGGGGGAGGGGAATCGAGCTCGGGCTGCCGTGGCCAATAGCGCGGCGTGCAAACCGCTGCTGGCACTGCTCCCTGACGCTGATGTACGTCTTCATCAAATAATAACGTGGCGTTGCAGCCCACGCTCGGCCACTTTCACAATGATGATGGCTGCGATGCCACCGGAGCCGTCACTGGTAACCAAACAGCGCCGCCGTCATCGCGGGCACTCTCAGCGCCGCGCCCGGACGGTCCCGGCCCCGGTCAATCCCAAAACCACGACGTCGCCAGGTGCTCCTGGCGGTGCCCCTCTCGGCACCGGGCCCCAGGGCTGCCGTGATGCGCCGATGCCGCTACACGCCGTACGATACGATATCGAAGACGATCCTATCCGGGATGGGTAATCCTGCCCGGCTCATAATCCTCCCGCCCCGGTGAACCCGCGAGTCGCAACGATGACCGGCGCCGAAGCGTCGGCGGTCAACGTAGCCGACACCGGTCACGTCGCGCGCATCGGTGCCGTATCGCGCCGCCAAAAACAAGACAACACGTCACGGCAACAACGCTCCCGGGGCAGCTACGGAATCCCCGGGGATGGGTCGGGCGGCGGTCACCTTCGCAGCAGTCCTGCCAGAGGCGCAGGTCGACGCGGGGGATGTCCTGGCAGCCCACGTAGCCGTGCGGGAACTCGGCGACGGCGAAGACGTCGCGCTGCACACGCTCGATGCTGTCGCCGTTGTCGCACAGCACGCGCGCCAGCGACGCCTGCCGCAGCTGCGTCAGCTGCGCCGGCGTGAACACGCCGGGGTTCTCGTACCAGAACCTGACTCGCGCACGCACCACAAGCGCAGCCAAGGCCTGGAGGTCGGTCAACCGCCGCGGCGGACGCGCAGGTGACGGTGCAGCACCCGCCCGCTCGCCCGCTCGCTCGCTCGCGCCGCTGACGTTAGAGGCCTCGCTGCTGTTTGTTGTCCTGCCCCCGAATCGAACTGGCGACCTCTGGATTGCAAGCCCAGTGTGTTGACCTGTACAATGGCACGAGTAATGACAGGGCTTCACCTTTCCCATTGCCTCGTTTTTACAACGCCAAACTACGTACGCCACCTTAGCAGTTGCACTCACGTGTCGTTTTTTTTCTCATTCCGAAATTGACCATCAAAATTCTCGACAGCCATCGTGACGGCACGCTGCCAACCACCGCTGTGCGGATGGGGCGGTAAAAGCGTGCTTCTGGGGGAGAGCGCTGCTCAGAAAATATTCGCTGCTGTGCTTGCAAACCGTACACAACGAAAAGGCCACTGAGTGGAGAGGAAGCCCAGAAGCTGGCAGCAAAGTTTCTCAGCCAACGTTTCTAATGCGCATCAGGCGCAAGAATGCCGAGCCACATCGCTCTGAAGAAATGCGGAGACCGAGCACGAAGGTTTAAAGAAAAAACAACCCTCAAATTTAGCCACGGGAAAAGGTGCGTGTGTGTGTGCGTGTGTGCGCGTGTGTGTGCGTGTGTGTGCGTGTGTGCGCGTGTGTGCGCGTGTGTGCGTGTGTGCGCGTGTGTGCGCATGTGCGCGTGTGTGTGTGCGCATGTGTGTGCGTGTGTGCGCGTGTGTGCGTGTGTGCGTGTGTGTGCGCATGTGCGCGTGTGTGTGTGCGCATGTGTGTGCGTGTGTGCGCGTGTGTGCACGTGTGTGTGCGCATGTGTGTGCGTGTGTGCGCGTGTGTGCGCGTGTGTGCGTGTGTGTGTGCGCATGTGTGTGCGTGTGTGCGTGTGTGCGCGTGTGTGCAAAAGGGTTATTTACCCCCCCTCCCCGCCTATGTCTACTCAATGGTGCACCACAGCTATTTCTTGGGTGTGGAAGAGTAGGCCAAATTCTCTCTAATAATGATGGATTCTCTAGAGCTCCCTTGAGTGAAGGCTGTCCCGACAGCAGTGACATGAGCAAGTCGCTGCAGGGCTGCACCTTTATATATTTTTTGCATGGCTGAGTTAACTGCAGCGGTGTATGGCGGTCCACCGATGTGCTTGGAAACCACTGACAAGGCCGACCCTTAAGTTGTTTTGCATATTTAAGTTCTGAATTGTGCCAAAAAACGAGTTACATATGTTCACTGCTGTGCAAGTCAATTGCACAGCGGTGAACACTGATGCTACCAATACTGCATCCCAATTTTGGATAAATAAAAAAAAAACCTAAATTGGATTGAATAATATGTCGGGTATTAACCCAAAACCTTTGAAGTCAAAATCTAATTAATTCCCGAGGTAGCGATGATTGAAAAAACACGTAGTTTTATATCTAACAGTCGGTGTGAAAATGGATGTTAACTTGTTTGTGAATGTTGTTGACTCATTGTTCTGTGGATTGATTTGATGTTGATTAAAAACATCTTTTTAATTTAACGATTTTAATAATATAACTAATTTTAATTTTTTTTATAACATTCTCAAAACTTTTTTGAATAATCAAATTATGAATAACTCAGCTGAATATTAAACACTGGTCACTGTTTAAGGCTAGGGACATAGTCATAATATACTGTTGGGGAAAGCTCTTTTAGCAAGCACCTATAAAGGCCGGCACGCACACCACGCCCGACCACCTTTGTCTCCCCGATGGTGATGTTTACACATTGTACCAGGTACTCATTTTAGCCTGAGTCAACATAGGGGAGGCCCAAGATTGTTTCAGATAATCGTCACTTGTCTCGACCATGAGCAGGAATGGAAATCAGGTTGTCGGGTAAATCACGGAGCGTGAACCCCTGTGCTACCGCTCCCAATTAAAGCAAGGAACACAGCGGGGCCAGACTCACACTTCCTTGACAAATCGGCTACCTTGACAAAGCAGCTAAAACCCAGAGCCCTGGGAATGCAAGTGCCCTTGTAGGCCGACGGAGATATTGGCATTCTTTCTCCAAAAAAGCAGACAAAAAGGAACACGTTTATCCACAACGTGAAACAAATGCCTTACTAACACCCCGTTCACTAGAGGATTGGATGCATGACCTCTCTCTGTATTGTCGCCTTAGTAACCTGGGGACGGAGGGGGTGTGGAGGCTGGGGCGTGGGGAACAGTGATCTGGATTGGGCAGGGGGCTGCTATACCAAAACTATAATCGAGCGACCTGACCACAAATGACAGCTCAACGAAGTGGCCTATCATGTGGAAATTTATAGCAGCAAAATACTCTGAATGCACGTTGATTCTAAATGCGGAGGGGAAAACCGGAGGACCCGGAGAAAAATCCACACGACCGCGGAGAGACACGCAAACTCCAAATATGCAGCAGGCGTCATGGTGTGCGATCGACCCCACAACCTCCTGTATACCAGGCAAGGTAGTTAACACTTCGTCACGGTCGCGGTCCACTGGTAGCCACGAACGCGCACGTGGGGGTTTGCGAGACGTGTGGTGGCTGGCCTGCGTGCGTACCGGTCGCCGTCGCGCAGGCGCTGGAACTGCGTGAGGAGCAGGCACAGCAGCGTGGGGCCCAAGCGCGTGCCGGGGACGAGCTCCTCCACCATGAGCGCGGGGAAGAGGTCGATATTCTGAGGCGTCCCGTAGAGCCTGCCGCCACCACCAAACACGCACGCACGCACGCGTGTCACGCTGGCGCACGGGGACCGGAAGAAGATATCGCGCCCGTTGGGAAACCGTGCAGCGGTCTAAGACATATAAAGGCGGCGGCTACGAGCGTCGCCTTTCCAGGCTCGTTCACCTCTCGTGAAGGTGCCCGCAGTGATGCGCGGTGAAAGCTTCAGGGATCAAAAGCTCAGCTACGATAGTGGACCGCACTTTCATGAAGAGTTTCTAGCCGTGAAGTAGAAACAACTAGATCAGAATTGACTTGCGAGTCTGTGAGAACACAGAAGTTGAGCCGTTGCTGCTGCTGCTGTATGAGACAGAGTGCTGGTCCGGGAGCAAGACAGACGAGAGGAAGATTTATTCCTGGGGAAATGGGCTGCCTGAGATTAACCTTTACTGTTTCGAGGTTCCTAAGATCAGGATCTAATCACGTCTATCTGGGTCAACGACCCAGGAAATATTTCTGCACCCGACATACGGCCTTCAGTATAGCTCTCGCTCTGGCTGTAGCTAAAGGTCACGTGCCACCGTACTGGTCGACTCGCGACCGAGAAGAAATTCAGTGGGAAACGAAGCCTTGAGCTAAAATTTAAGAATGAAGAAAATAAAGGAGACCTGAACAGAAAGCGACTATTCGGGCAGAAGGTCTGGACAGAATTCACCGCGTTTGGCAACCACGCACATTTGAGGAGGGAAAGAAGAACGCAGGGAGGCAGAGAACCGGACGGACGTGGTAAAGAAAGATTCCATATCAACACGACTAAAATTATCTGAAGCAGTGAGACTGATTCAACACAGGAGCCAGTGCAAGGCGTTCAGTCAGCCCTATCGTGGCTGGCGAGTGGACGAAGTGGAACTGAAGGAGGAGGAGGAAGGGAGCTCGTTGCAAGCTGCTAGCAGGCGGCAGAGCAATGGGTGGTGGTGAACCCTTGCGCCAAGGACGGCGCTGTGATTGTGATGCCAAATGAGGGAGCGCGGAGTGCCATGGAAACCGGGTGATTGGGAGCAATTAGTGAGCGCAAGGTCGCAGGCCCCAGATCACGAGGCAGCGCACGCAAACCGCGACTTAAACTTCTGTGCTCGATCTGCTTGCACGAAAATTCACACCATTTTATTCGCCGTTGTTGTTGTTAGGGACAGCCTGTTACACACCTTCACGAAATGTGCTTTTGTTTTCTCTTTGGTTTATTTCGTTCACTTCAGGTTATGCGATTTGAGCCAATCCGTTCCTGGGGCCAACGGTGAAAGAAATCTCAAACGCTGAGAGCAACGAACACACTATTTCAATCGACCCTGCCACATTTGTCAAAGAACCCCGCAACACTGCCATGCACTGAAGTGGAGGGTTGTAATCTGCGTAAATGTCAGTAGTCGTGTTCATGTCGAAATCCCTCCACTGCACCCGCTGCCTCAAGTGGGCTGGTTTTATTTATCGAGTGCTTTATTCTTCTTCTTCTTCTTCAAATGCGCATAACCGGTGCTCATCTCCTGTCTACAGCCCTGAGCCAGTGATGGAAATTCCACATTCCTATGACATGGGATGAGTCTCTACCACATGACAACCACTGTTGATTTCCCCACCAAGCGCTACTCGTTGTATAAACTAAACCAGAAAAATCTTTACCGGGTCAGGCCCCATTGAGCTATGTCGCTCTTTTTCAGATGCGACCTGGCCACTAATGATAGCCGAACAAAATGGCTCATCGCGTGGAAATGTCTAGCAGCTAAATACTCTAAACGTGCGTTGATTCTAAATGTGGAAGGAAAAACAGGAGGACCCAGAGAAATATCCACGCGACCACGGGGAGAGAATATAGAGGCATCGGGGTCAAACCCACGACCTCCCGTAGACCTGGCGAGGTAGTTAACATCTCGCCACCGTGGCACCCTCATGGACCCCAGTGGAAAGAGGGGGCTGTGTTGCACCCCCCCCCCCCCCAACCAAGATTTGAATTGAGTATAGGTTTTCCCCTTTTTTCTGGCAACAAAACAGACGTCAAGATGTTCAAACACCAAACGGTGTTAGATCAGAGCACGCCTTTTGGCGTCTTCTGGTCTAACACCGTTTTGAAACTAGGAAAAAAAAGCTGTCTCTGGTGTGGACCAATCAGTTTCAAAGACAATGCATATATTATACTCTTTGTGTCTTTATGCATTAAATCTTTATGTCAAGATTTAATGCATATATTATTATGCATTAAATCTGCATTGTGGTTAATACAGACATGATTCCTTGTAAAAGGATTCAACGTAAAAGGATTCAACCTAACACCTGTTTTGTTGCCAGAAAAAAGGGGAAAACCTATTCTCATATTTTGGAACTGGCAAAGGAGGTTCCATGATGTAGGATTTTAATTGGTAATCTTGGTAACACTTCGCTTGCGAGCTACCCGCTCCACCGCTGAGCCAGCCGGCCAGTTTTGCCACAACGTGGGCGGTGCGTAGGGCAGTGCAGCCGGGGCTCCGTGGAGTCCGCGAAGCAAAATCCACACAGAGGCCATTGGACGCGTGCCCAGTGAGCTGGCAGAGTGATCCCGGCCCTCCCGTCACGCGTGCTCCACTTCCCTTACAGTGAGGGAAAAAACGTATTTGATCCCCTGCTGATTTTGTAAGTTTGCCCACTGACAAAGAAATGATCAGTCTATAATTTTAATGGTAGGTTTATTTGAACAGTGAGAGACAGAATAACAACAACAAAATCCAGATAAATGCATGTCAAAAATGTTATAAATTGATTTGCATTTTTACGAGGGAAATAAGTATTTGACCCCTCTGCAAAACATGACTTAGTACTTGGTGGCAAAACCCTTGTTGGCAATCACAGAGGTCAGACGTTTCTTGTAGTTGGCCACCAGGTTTGCACACATCTCAGGAGGGATTTTGTCCCACTCCTCTTTGCAGATCTTCTCCAAGTCATTAAGGTTTCGAGGCTGACGTTTGGCAACTCGAACCTGTAGCTCCCTCCACAGATTTTCTATGGGATTAAGGTCTGGAGACAGGCTAGGCCACTCCAGGACCTTAATGTGCTTCTTCTTGAGACACTCCTTTGTTGCCTTGGTCGTGTGTTTTGGGTCATTGTCATGCTGGAATACCCATCCACGACCCATTTTCAATGCCCTGGCTGAGGGAAGGAGGTTCTCACCCAAGATTTGACGGTACATGGCCCCGTCCATCGTCCCTTTGATGCAGTGAAGTTGTCCTGTCCCCTTAGCAGAAAAACAACCCCAAAGCATAACGTTTCCACCTCCATGTTTGACGGTGGGGATGGTGTTCTTGGGGTCATAGGCAGCATTCTTCCTCCTCCAAACACGGCGAGTTGAGTTGATGCCAAATAGCTCCATTGTGGTCTCATCTAACCACAACACTTTCATCCAGTTGTCCTCTGAATCATTCAGATGTTCATTGGCAAACTTCAGACGGGCATGTATATGTGCTTTCTTGAGCAGGGGGACCTTGTGGGCGCTGCAGGATTTCAGTCCTTCACGGCGTAGTGTGTTACCAATTGTTTTATTGGTGACTATGGTCCCAGCTGTCTTGAGATCATTGACAAGATCCTCCTGTGTAGTTCTGGGCTGATTCCTCACCGTTCTCATGATCATTGCAACTCCACGAGGTGAGATCTTGCATGGAGCCCCAGGCCAAGGGAGATTGGCAGTTCTTTTGTGTTTCTTCCATTTGCGAATAATCGCACCAACTGTTGTCACCTTCTCACCAAGCTGCTTGGCAATGGTCGTGTAGCCCATTCCAACCTTGTGTAGGTCTACCATCTTGTCCCTGACATCCTTGGAGAGCTCTTTGGTCTTGGCCATGGTGGAGAGTTTGGAATCTGATTGATTGATTGATTGCTTCTGTGGACAGGTGTCTTTTATACAGGTAACAAGCTGAGATTAGGAGCACTCCCTTTAAGAGTGTACACCTAATCTCAGCTCGTTACCTGTATAAAAGACACCTGGGAGCCAGAAATCTTTCTGATTGAGAGGGGGTCAAATACTTATTTCCCTCATTAAAATGCAAATCAATTTATAACATATTTGACATGCGTTTTTCTGGATTTTGTTGTTGTTATTCTGTCTCACACTGTTCAAATAAACCTACCATTAAATTATAGACTGATCTTTTCTTTTTCAGTGGGCAAACGTACAAAATCATCAGGGGATCAAATACTTTTTTCCCTCACTGTACATGTCCTCTCTCACGTAATAATATTACAAATTAAAACAAACCCTCGAGATTGTGTGCTGTGTTCGGCCAGCTTTCTACAACATTAATCTATATAAGAAGGAAAAAAGAAACCCCTGCCATTAATCAAGTCGTAACGGAGAAATATTATATTTCAAGTGTCATCTGCAACATAAGCAAACAATTAGCTTGAAACACAATTGCATTTGCTTAGCTCCACGAAACTACGGCCACGCAATTTATCGATAGAAATTCGAGGAACGGACTCTGTGACCATTGATCAAAGACACGCCAATTAGCGCGACGTGCAGCTTGTTATTAGTGGCAATGCAATTAGGATATCAATTTCCAATAAGTAAATGAAGCGGTGAATGACAGTACCTCCGTAGCTTTTCCCGTATGTGCGGGTTCCGGATCTCGTTGCGCAAGTCCTCGAAGTCGCGGGCCGACGTGAGGTTGCAGAAGACCCTGTAGTCGTTGTAGGGCGGGATGCCGTGGTCCCGGCCACGTTGGATGTTGGTGGCCGCCAGGTCCAGCGCGACGGTGTGAGCCATGAAGAACAACCGCTCCGTCAGCTCCGTGTTGAGCAGCTCGGACGGGACCCTCATCTTGCCGGGGACGGCAAACATCCCGCGCAGCAGGGGGTCGATGCCGCCCTCGTTGACGATGCGGTACGGCGAGAAGAACGCCCTGTGGAGGGGCAGGTTCCCCTGGGGGATGGGCTGGAAGGAGTCGTCGAGGCGGTAGAGCACGGGGTTGATGAGCGTGTGGCCGAAGCGGAAGGCGGCCGTGGCGAAGGCGTTGAAGATGCCCACGTTGACGTTGGGGTCGTAGCCCCGGTAGTCGCCGAGGCGCTTCGTGCCGACCTCGCCCAGGATCTTGGGCAGCCAGTGGGCGTAGGTGACGTGCTGCACGAGCGCGCCCACGACCTTGCGCGCCTCGTGGTAGACGGCGTCGCCGTCCCAGTGCGGGTTGAGCCGCAGCAGCTCGGCGGCGACGCGGTTGTGCTCGCGGAACCACAGCGTGTGCATGGCCGTGAGGCCCAGCTGCTCGTTGGAGCGCTGGTCGCCCGCCAGGAAGCACGGCACGGGGCTCTCGTTCTCGTCCCGCATGCACTCGGTGGGCGGGCCCGTGGCGAAGGGCAGCAGCGCCTTGCCCGAGCGCTGCACGAGGCCCCGCCTCAGCGAGCCGCGACGGCCGGCCAGGTCGCGCAAGTCGCGCGACTCGCGCTCCGAGCTCCCGTACACGTTGGAAGCGTCGATGTACGAGGTCAGCTGGTTGATCTGCTCGCGCGGGTGCACGGAGTTCATGAGCAGCGAGGTCATGCCACTGCCGCACACGGGGCTGGAGCGCGCGAAGAACATGCAGCGCGCGTCGCGCGCCCTGCGGTCGTCGGGCGGGATCGCGATGGGGAAGCACGGCGGGTCGTTGGTGCAGACGGCGCCGCAGGGCCGCCCGTCGGAGAAGCGCGACTGGCTGAGCGCAGCCACCGTCAGGTCGAGGTCGTGGTCCAGGAACTGCCCCCACTGCATGAGGATGTGCGTGTAGCGATCGTCCGGCGTGACGCTCTCCGTGCCGATCATGGCGGTGGACACGAGGCGAGGCTGCGGCAGCGGGAAGCCGTTGACGGGCGCCTCGGGCGTGAAGCCGCGCGGCCGGTTGAGGCCGTTCTCGTACACGGGCTTGAGGAGGCGCTCGAAGGGCGTGAGCGACGCGCCCCACATTGGGTGCTGCAGGTTGTTGCAGGTGCCGTCGTGCGTGCGGTACTTCTGGTGGAAGCAGATGTCCGAGCAGTTGTCGGAGCGGCGGTGCGCGGTGCAGCCCGACAGGTTCGCGATGAGATTCAGGTAGCGCGGCGACACCAGGTCGTTGTACCTGTACAGCGCTGCCAACACGCGCGGCGGCACGGCACGCGCCGGTGACGCGAGCGCTCGCGTCGTACGCACAGCACGGCGGCTGCGTTAACCAAAATGTAAACCCCGGGCCACGTGTGCTTGGGGCATTTAAAATGTTATTAAAACCATATCGCAACATCACCCCCACCCCCCTACCGGAGGTCTGCACCCGTCAGTGCAACAGCAATTTTGTGATATCCTTGCGCTATAAGAATGGCGCCAATACCAGGCGTGAGGATTCAAGGTAGGATAAGAACACACTTGCGATGTGCGGTGCTCGTCTGTCACAAAAGGCACAAAACTGTTTTAAGACTCAACCTTGTTCCACTGTGACAATAGGGCGGTCCAAATGGCCTACACTCATACATTAGGCCACAGAGTCTAAGACACAATAGAGGTGTTAATTCTGCAGCATTTTAAATGCAACCCCATAAAATACCAAACACCGCTGATGGATAAAAAGTACACACAGTTAACGTCTGCACTGCACGCAAGATTCACCCTGCTATTTTGAAAGCCAAGTGAGTTAACTAACACACCCAGGGGGTTAAACAAAGCAACATCAACACGAGGTCACGAGTAACTCGGGCACTCACTGCACAGCCCTCAATGCTAACTCACGGGGTATGCGGAAAGAACAACTTTACATTTAAAACGGTTTTTTTTTGCACCGCGTAAATCTCCCAGCAGGGAGTTCATCTCGAGCGCAATCCACGGCGCTTGCATTACACAGCCCAGGTTGTCACCTGCCCTGCTTTTTAACTTCTTGTTCAACTTCCTGTTGAGGCAGCTGCTACTCTGACAAATCTCTTGAGTCGTCCCAGGGCGTTAATAGTCCCTAAGTTATTTGTCAGTTGCGTATTAATAACAATAATACACAGCTCATGACGATTCGCATTCATATGTAGTTCCCCCCTATTTGGGTTAAAATTCAAGTATATTTTATTTAACTAGGTGAGAACCCAAGAGACCAGGAGAGAGTCTCGTTTGTTAGACTAACGCGAGGTTACCAAAATTACAAAAGGAATAAAACAAAGTACAGCCTGGGGAAGTAAATCGATCATTCGACAGAAGACAACTCTGCATTGCAGAACAAATATGTTTCCTACAATGTAAGTAGGCTGGGACAGATTACTTTTAACCGTTTGGTAGAACAAAATATTTCGGATTTTCGTACCTTGGAGGTGGCAACCCCATGGTAATAATAACATTTATGCATTGTTTTTGACAGCCTTCCCTTTTCGCGATCACGTCTACAAAAGTGCTTTAGACGAGATGAACAACTACATCTCGTGTCAACCCAAATACTGGAAGGGTACCCCCAGTGGCAGCTGTCCCTACGTGGAAACAAAGTGACTTGGCACCTGGCCTGCAAGCGGGCATCAGTCTGCCAGCAGGGGGGCGATGATCGCTGCTGTGTGTAATTCCTCTTTGGTAATTTGCGGCTAATAATTTCGAATTGGCCGCTCGTTGACGATGACTTCAGGAGATCTTCAACGTCCACCGTGAGTATTTTTTACGGTCGGTACACGCGCGGGAATAACCAGGGCGGCCTGCCCGCTTCGAACCGCGCCACTCACTGGTGCCGTTGGCGTCGACCGTGAGGCCGTTGCCCACGTGTTCCTGGATGAGCTGCAGCGTGCGCTCGAAGATCTCCCCGGCGCGCGCCTGCTCCACCGTGTAGGGGTCGCGCGGGTAGCGGAAGAGCGCCAGCAGGTCGCTGGGGCTGTGGGGCTGCCTGGGGGGGGGGGGGGGGGTGCACCGCACCGCACGCCCCACCGGGAATCACCGATGTTAAACTCATCAGGCGCAGGTCACGAGCGAGAGCATGACGCTCGACGAGAGGCCGAAGCGGGGGTACGCTCGCAGTAACATCGGAACGCGTGCGTTTATTCTGGGGAGAGCGCCGCCTCTTAGAATCGTATCGTATCCTCGGGGGTCTTTGACACAATTTTCATCCCTTAGCAAAAAATTGAGGGTGCGTCTTATAATCCGGTACGTGGCGTCCATTACCCCCCACGGCCACTTCCACCATTGCTGTATTCTCCGGAGTTTCGGAAGCACACACTTGTTTCCCACTTCCCCTAGAAGCTGCATTATCTGGAGATTTTTTTTCTTCAAAAAGTCTAAAAAGTTTTGGATTTGTCTAACAGTCCAAAGCATCTAGCAGTCACGGAGGACACGGAATGTACGTAGAGCCCTTTGTGAATCCACCGCTGGATGAAGGCCTCCCCATGCCGTGTCTGTCCATGAGGGTTGATTGACCATACTTTACCAGACAGGGTGTGCACACAACCTAGCTATCATGGTGAACCTGGATACTCTGCTGAAGCCTGGTTATTTTTACTCATGATGACTGTTTCTCATTCAGAGTTCTTGCTAGATCTGGTGTTTGTGACATAGAGCACATTTGTGGTTGGGAAACGAAATTAACGAGTATTGTCACCACCGAGCAAACTGCAATTCTTAACAGACGTTTATGGATATTATTATAATCATTGAAAACAAGAGTCACGATTCGGGCGTTACTTTTTTTTACTTTTCAGTGAAGCATTTGAACCCGTATGCTGTAAACATTCCCATCAGAAAAGAATTCAGCCGTGGTTTTTCCATACTTTTTTTTCTTTCAAAGCTCCCAAAGGTTTTATTGTTCGCATGCGGGCTGCGTGTTAATTCACAAAGCAGGCCGCCGTGTCGTGCAGACGTTTCCCGAATCGAGCCCTCCCATGAAACGTCCGAAGCAGCGACGTGCCTCCCCCCGGTGAATTGTTGCGCCGCCTCATTGAGCCCGATCGAACAATTGTTTGGGGAGAATCCGCAAGGACCGACCTCTGACCTCAGGCGTGACGGACTCTGCTTGCACTCGCCGACAACAGATTTCTCTGTGAGCCGCACGCTAAATAAAAAAAAAACGGGCCCATGTCCGTTTTTTAGCGATTCATTAGGCGGCGCCCACCCGCCATCCCCCTTGACGCGGGGAACACTGCCGCGGTTGTCGGGAAGCCGTTCTTCAGCTAAACGCGCCATTTCATTCGTTATGCATTTTCCATCGCGGCCAGCGGAGTACTCACCGCAAAACCTCGTTGAGACTCAACACACCTGTCAACCAAATTTTAGAGATGTTTTTAAACACTGTCTTTATATATATTTTTTTTACTTTAAGGCCGCAGTGTTGTTGACAAGTGTCAACTACATCACAATTTGATGCAAAGCCATCGATTTAGTTACGATAACTTCACATGCAGTGGCATTTGACATCAGAACCCTTGTCAGTGTACCTATTCAGAATCAGAACATTTATTTATACTGGAGGAATCCGATGAGCTATAACAATCTTTTTCACAGTAGGGGCAGGTCAGAACGTTCTGGACAATCGTCACCCTGTATGTTTCACGTGTCTGTAACTTCATACCAATCGTACGATTTGCTTCGTTGCTCCACTGCATGTTATTAGTTTTATTTCTGTCACTTTGGCGAGCCGGCAACCTTTGGCCCCTGCTGTTCTCGCCTGTTTAAACACATCAACTCGAAACTTCCCTCGCCCAGAGAAACGTTTGGGCACGGGGCGAGTGCAGCCCTCGAGAACGCGGTGCCCCTTCCCTGCCCAACCCGGGGGCACCGCTGGGGACGCTGCGGGGGCACGGCACCTGCCAAAGAGCGCGCGGCGCGTTGAGTTGATGGCGCTGTCCACGCTGTGGATCGCCTGCTGGACGGAGCGCTCCACGAAGCTGTCCCCGCTGCGGCTTCTCTCCGCCACTGGCGCGGCCGCGCGGCGAGTGAACGCACACACGGACGCACAAACACACACACAAACACAAACACACGCGCAACACACACACAGACACAACACACACGCAACACACACACAAACACACATGCACATACACATAAACACACACAACACACAAACACACACGCAACACACACACAAACACACAACACACATACAAACACATCAACACACACGTGAACATACAAACAGACATACACACAAAAAGACAAAGATCTCTCGTATAGCCTTAGCAGACTGTTGGGGCAAGTTCTGTTAGCGAGCACCTATGAAGGCCGGCACGGCACACGAGGAGGTGGGTGGCCAGCACCACGCCCGGCCGCCTTCGTCTCCCTAGTGGCAATGTTTTTACACACCGTACCAGGTACTCATTTGAGGCTAAGTCGACCTATGGGAGGCCCAGGGCCAGTTCAGATAATCGTCACCGGTGTTGGCCGTGAGCGGGAATCGAACCCGGGCCACCGGGTTTGTAGCGAAGCGTAGCGCTAACCACTGCACCACCGCTCCCCCACACCAGCACCACCACACATGCACGGAGACGCGTGCACGCACACACAGACAGGGTTTAAAAACTGCCGACGCACACACTCCACCCGGCGCGTTAGTGGCGCACGCACCGCTGAGCTTCCATCGACATTTCAATGCACACAGAGCTCGGAAGATGAAATACGCTCACACAACGCTGCGCATCGAAATCCGCGCCGTGCGGGTGGAAGGCTCGTCGCCTGCACGGTACATTTCCTCCCCGCCTACCCCCCCCCCGCTCCCCTGCCCACCGCCTACGTGTTAGGGTACCATCAAAATGCAGGGCCGACGTTTGACTTCGGCATCACAGCCGCCGCGCATTGCAATCGCGACGGCAGCTGTCAGCCGCCGCCACGGAATTGTGCGCCCCTGAGCGACGTCGGCGCCGGAGGGGGGTGACGGTGGGGGCTGGTGCTCACTCGAGGGCGCTACCTGTGACGGACAGCAGCATGCTGGTGGACGCGTGGCCGATGCTGTTGCGCGCGATGCACTCGTAGCGGCCCTGGTCCGCGGGCCCCGCGTCCCGGATCTCCAGGTAGCCCTCGGCGCTCACGTGGAACTTTCCGCTCTCCGTTATATGCACCCCGTCCTGCCGGCGACGATGGACAGTCGCGGGGAGGGCGTTACCGCGCGGGGGGTTTTTCCGCGGCTCGCGCTGCGCAGAACGTCCGATTCGCGGTGGCGGTTCGTGCCCCGCGAGTTCCGTCGGGCACGGTGCACGACGTTTATGCTCCGCGCGCTGGGGAGCTTATTCGGGAGCTGAATGGAGCGGCTCACGATCCCCGTCGACTGGACTCGCGGGGACGTGAAGCGAAACGACGGACATGGCGCCGAACGACACGCACTCGCGGTCGGAAAAGACGTCGCAGAGCGAATTGCAGCGGGCGTTCAAGTCGAAGGGCGCATCACCCAACAATAGTCCCAAAATAATAATCACAAAAGTCTCATCTCCTTAAGCCACAATTTCAGGAACGTGTTACCAATTACAGATCGTTGTCAATCCCCTGATGAATGAAGGCCTCCCCACGCTGTGTTAGTCACCGAGGTGGTCTGAGCGGACTTCCTCAGGCTCGGTCATTGCAGGTTGGTGATGAAGGCACTGCCCAGGATCCACGCCCAGACTGGGGAATCAAACTCAGAAGTTCTGGGGTTCAAACTTCAGAGTCTTGCCCATTGAGTCACTGCCCCAACCCAGGACCTTATTTCAGAATATTATTGGATATTGAATGAGGCATTAATTGAGGATAATCATCTCCAGTCATGAATTCGAGGTGGGGCCATCAATCAGCTTGTGTGCAGTTGTTAGGTAAATCTTTACATTTCCGGAATGTGAAAGATGTATGTATGTCACGTAAACAGAACGTGCCAATTCGTTACTAGTACTGCACAACGGTGTGTTGGAAACCAAATCCACAACATTAAAATCTGAGTACGACGTTTCACCAGTAATTACAACTAGCTTCATCAGGTGACAGCCAGATGTGTGGAGACATCCTCCTGTTTCGTTCCTTAAATAGAGGGACAGATGTGATGACGTCACTAGTGAGCCCTTCACGTGCGAAGGCGGGTTTTAACGACACATTTCCATTTACGCGATCTAACCGGAAAAACCTACATTATGGATGACATTGGTTGCGAAAGCCTACGTGTTAAAATGTGTCTAGAATATGGAACTGCTTTCGCATCGTACGTAACAAACCATGCAAATCGGAGGTGCGGTGGAAAGACAACAAACTAAAAACCAAAAAGCAGTTCCAAAGAAATTAGTTTTCAATCTAGATCATTTTAAAGTGTGTAGCTCCAGTGGCTTTGGGAGGCCTTCATCCAGCAGTGGACTGACCATGGGCAATGATAACCATGACGATTCTAGAAAAAATGTAGCAAAACGCTGAGCACACAAAATTTTGAGTGGAGTGAGCTATGTATGGATGAGTGTGGCGAGTCACCTTGGCCCACATGAGGCTGGGCTGGGGCTCCCCCTGCGCGCTGCACGCAATCCGCACGTCGCGCCCCGAGTCGGTGGTGATGTCACTGGGCGTGACGCTGAACACCGGCGTCACTGGCAGCAGAAGAGAGCAGATCGACTTCGCGTATTGTCCCTCACGGTTGCTGAGCACAGGTCCAGGTGTTTAGTTTGTTGTCCTTCCCCCGCACGTCCGATTAGCACGGTTGGCTACGTACGGTGCGAAATAAGTTATACACACAAAGACAAAAAACCCCGCTTAGTCTTAACAGACTACAGGGGCAAGTGCTGTTAGCGAGCTCTGATGAAGGCCGGAATGGTCCACGAGGGGGTGGGTGGCCAACACCACAGCAGTCCGCCTTTCTCTCCTTAGTGGCAATGATTACACATCGCACCACGTACGTATTTGAGGCTGAGTCGACCTAGGGGAGGCCCAGTACCGGTTCAGATATTCGTCACTGGTGTTGGCCGTGAGCGGGTCGCCGGGTTCGTAGCGCTCAAAATCCCAAACCGCGAGCAACAAACAGCAGAATTTAATCTTTTTATTAAAAGAGTAGTAAACACATTTCTTGAATCGAACAAGGTTATACCTATTGTTCAGTGATATACAATTCATAATAGATTTTTTTGTGTTAGGCCACTTGACGACTGGCAAGTTTCCGTCATAGAACCTTCCAGAAAAGCGACACAAGCACTTAGCAACGCGCCGACCATTACTGCTTCAGCTCACTCAGCCGTGAGTCGAAGATCAATTCTCGCAAACAAATTTAGCAGCAATTAGATTCGACGTTTCGCTTGCATCTACGCCAAGCATCTTCAAGACAAGATCCAGAAGGCGAGGATGCAATTCACGAAGTGGGAAATGTGGTCACATCACTCTGTGGCCAACAACCCAAAAATCTATTGTGAAACGTAATACTGGCTGTGAAAACCCGAGTGTTAATTTTATGATAAACCCATTTCTTATCTTGACACACAATTCGCATGTTCCTTTACAACATAAATACAACAAAACTCTAAATATATTTACAAATGAATCCAATTAACACGCAAATTTACACGTCATTTTAAAGCATCAAAACAAAATCTTGAAAAGTAATTAAGTGAACCAACTGTTCCCCTTAACACAGTTGACACGTTCTTTGAAAACGTCAAAATAAAGTAAAATAACTGCACACTCAAATTGATTTCAGGAGTAAGCACTCGAATAAGCATCAATCGTTCAACTTGCAGCGTTTCGCTCAAAGCTGCCCTCGAAGGCTCGCGTTTGAGGCGTGCGCTTGCCGCGACGGATCCTATGAGAGTCTGAGAATGCTAGACCGGCGGGAAGCCTCAACACGAAACTCACGCGGACGCCTTTTGCCCGCGTTCGTCGCGAGAACGGTTTAACGAAACGGCCATCGGAGGTTTCACGCCCCGCGCGTGGAAGGCACGGGAAGCCGGGGCCGTCCGCATGATAGGCACATTGTGCTGCATGCGAGGCACCGTACAAACAATAAGTAATTGACAATGACGGTGGTGGTCATGACAAAGGAGGAATGAAGGAGCGATCGTGATGGGCAGAGAAAGAAGAAGGAGTGGACGAAGTTGGTACAGCCTCATCATCCAGCGTGACGAGTGACGGAGGAGGAGGAGAAGAGACGGAACCGGTAACGCTTGCCTTCTTTGTACCGGAGGGCAATGCCGCTCTAAGTCAGGGGTCGGCAACCGAAATAACGATAAGTGTATTTTTTTTCCAAATTAGGTAAAACAAATAAAAACTCAACATTTCAAGAGCCGCAATGCCACGTGAATCACGTGGCGAAACAGCAGTTCTTAAAGAGTCGCATGCGGCTTCGGAGCCGAAGGCTGCCGACCGCTGCTCTAAGTGCACCTAGCCTGGCACAAGCGCCGTGGGGACATCACCGCCACTTAGTGGCGAATGGCCGTTGTTGTTGTTGTCACTCTAAATCTATTTATAAGTTTCTGTAACTTAATTATACTTTTCATGGGTTTTTTTAGTTATTTGCCCAGGCCAACTTTTATTCCTGGAAATTAATTTATTCAATGCTGATTACATTTTTGCGCAAAGTTTTTTTGGATTTCTTCTGCAACGCGATTGTGTTTTTCTTTGTTGTTTCGAGATTTCGATTCAATCCACTGTTGTAATGATTTGCATATTGTTGCTTTTATCATCATGGTGATGCAATACAATTTCGCCAAATAAGACTATCCTGGTTGTGTTGATCTCTCCGGTTCTCACCTCGCTGAACCTGAAAGTTTGCCTCGCTACGTACGTGTGTATGTACGCTGAACTTCTTTCGCACCGCACGTAGCCAACCGTGCTGGCCTCGAGCGCCGGCGGCGGCGTGTACGGAGCCTCACCACGGGGCAGCACGGTGAGCTGTGTCGCGGCCCGTCGCACGCCCACCACGTTCACCGCCTGGCACTCGAATTGGCCCTGGTCGTGCAGCGCCACGCGGGCGATGCGCAGCGTTCCGGACGACAGCACGGTGAGCCGGCGGTCGCTGGGGAGCTGGCTCCCTGCCGCACGGATGGACGGGGGCGGCGGGGTACGTGGCGTGGGGAGGAGAAATAAAATAATAACATTGTTATCATTTTTAACCTGTTCAACCTTTAACCTGAGCCGTACCCAATAACCAACCGTGTTTACTCACGGATGTCCGGAACCGTGTTTGATTCACATGGCGATTCCCGGGTGTAGGAGTCAAACGAACGATTTGGTACCCGCTTTGGTCCACGCGATGACGGGAAGGGGCCTGCCCTGGGCCTCGCAGTGAAGGTCCACGGTGTGGCCTTCCGTCACCACCTGGTCCTCAGGAGCCAAGATGAACTGGGGAGCAGCTGCGGGTGAGATGAGACAGCGCTTTAGTGAACCGAATGCATCATAGGCATCAACGCAGGGACCGCAGTAATGATGTCATTTATCACAAAACCGTTCAATTACATCTTTTTTTTACCATTAAGCAAGTGACAAAAAGGTGCACAAGGCGAACATCAATAATTTTCCGCTGGGATTTGCACAGCTCCTGCGAAATTACTGACAGTGGCAGAGTGAGATCACTCTCCTTGGTGCCCTATTGGAACCCATTTGCACCACTCGAACGCCATCAAGTTCAGCTTACCCTGAGCTTTCACCGAAACTAGTACCGACGCGCAGATGCTCGGCAGGTTATTATTTTAATATACGCACAAAACATTAAACGTCACAAAACCACCACATTGCCAAGCACACGTTTGGGAAACACTATTAAACCTAAAAATGCACTTCCCGTTGCTACTCAGATCGTTAAAGCTGTCTTCAACATAAAACATTTAAATTGAAAATCCACACTCTGACACAACAAATCACTTATACTTGTAAAATTAAAAGCTGCCGTCAGGGACATTATAACATTTTGTGTGTGTGTGTGCAGATTTTGTGTTAAAAGGCGAGTGAGTATTGAACTTGCAATCAGCAAATGGTTCAGGGTTCATTAAATTAGGAGGCTATGTCCTCGTCCCAGATGACAGTCCCGTTGATCGCCGCTCCACGCATTAAAACGACACATGCCCACCACAAACTTAAGAGCAACTACGTGTTCATTCGGCAGGGTCAGTCCGACCCTTGCTCGGTGCTGTTGCCAATGATGGGAGCAGTGATTAACCAGCAGAGACCCGCAGAAGCATCAAAGGGACTGACTTCGTGTTCCTCTGTTTTTCATCTCGACTTTAAACATACGTTCTCAGAAAAGGCATCCAACGAAACGCCGGAAAAATCTACCCCCCCCCCATAATAAGCAAACAAACCCTCTGCAGTACACAACTCGACTGGTGGCTCTTGGCTCAGAGCAGATTCGTCTCTTTCTACCAGGACAGCCACCCCAGAGGGTTCGTCTAAGAAGTTTTATTGAAAGTAGGCTTTAAATTGCATTCAGGAATACATAAAACAAAATCTATTTCAGAGAATGAAAATTTAGTTTCAGCGGCGAGTAATGATATAAAATAAGGAGATGAAGGTTATATTATTGGTTCTTTCAGTAAAGTCACGTAGAAGGGAAACAATAAAATAATAAAAATATAAAAAATAAAATTCTCATGACGTTTCGACTGCAACACAAGCAATCATCATCAGGTGTGAAAACCACAGCAGTCAAAACGTCGTGAGATTTTTATTGTTTTATATTTTTCTTATTTTTTTGATTCCCTTCTACGTGACTTTACCGAAAGAACAAAGAATATGAATTCCTGCAGTCACGAAAGCTTTAAATCAAGAGATGAAGGTTGTTATTATTTATTTAATCTGTGCCAGTGCATCGCATGCAGTGGAGCAGAGATGACGTTGCATCTGTCGATGGCCTGTCTGCCACGGCTGTCCCTGGTGCTCGTTGTTGTTGTTGTGCTTGTTGTTGGTGGTGGTTCTGGGCCCCGTTTGCTTGGTCCCTCCCGTGTTCCCTGACTCTGACGCCCCGCTCACCCCTTTCTACCCAAATGTATTTCTTCCAAATTTTGCAAAGCATCTTAAGTATGAGGATTACATTCAGGTCAAGGTGCAGCCATGCAATTACCTTCTCACTCCACTGCTAACCAGATGTCTTGGAAGAGCCGGAGTACCCACACTTTACCCCACGGTACGCCATCTGCTGATGGACTTAATGTGGTGCACCCATTTATACCGCTGGCTGGATAGAAGTGAGCGTGGTCAAGAAACTCGCACCATTGTTTCAACCGCTGGCGACCTCTGGATTGCAAGTCGAGCGTGCTAACCATTACACCGGGGCAGCATTTAGATACTCTCGACACGACACGCACTCACATTTGCGTTGTCACTGCTGTTGTTGCACCACTACGTAGGCGTTAGCTGTCGTGTTGCATAGCCCCCTGAAGCGTTTTCACACAACACTTGAGAGCGCTATATTGCCGCCGCCGCTGCCGCCGCCATTATCATCGTTGTCGTCGCTGTTGGCCAGACACTCACACTTCAGCAGGATGGTGGCAGAGGCGCGGATCGAGTCCTGGTTGTTGCTCGCGTGGCACGTGTAGCGCCCCTCGTCACCGGGCCCCGCGCGCTCCACGTGCAGCCCCCCCGAGGCCGTGACGGAGAAGCGGGGATCGGCCGGCAGCTGCTCCGAGTCGTCGCGCGTCCAGGAGACGCGGGGGGCCGGGTGCCCCCCAGCGCTGCACTCCAGCGTCACGCTCTCGCCCACCAGCACTTCCGTGTCGTGCGGCTGGATCACGAACGTCGGCGGCGCTGCCGAGGTTAACGGGAGCCGGGGGTCACGCGCGGCAGCCGGAGCGGCCGCAGCGTGCCGGGCATTTTAACGCGTCGAGTAATTTTGTTGGTTGCGGACGATGTTTACAATTGAGCAGGACTCATCGCCGCAGTCGCAGGATGTTAACTACCTCGCCTGATATACAGGAGGTCGTGAGTTCGACCCTGACACCTGCTGCATATTTGGAGTTTGAGTTTGCATGTTCTCCCCGTGGTCACGTGGATTTTTCTCTGGGTCCACTGGTCTTCTCCTCCACATTTAGAATCAGCATCACGCGTTTAGGGTATTTGGCTGCTATAGATTTCCACGCAATAAGTCACTTTGTTGAGCTATTATTTGTGGCCAGGTCGCTTCTGAAAAATTGCTATATCGCTCAGTGGGGCCTTACCTGGAAAAATAAACGTAGTTCATAGTTTTAGTTTAGTCTGAGCGATCGATGATCCGTCACTCGCCTAATCGCTCCAATTACTCGCTCACCGGTGGCCAGTCATCTCCTTATCACTTCACTCGGTGATTCCTTCCACGCACGTTGAGGACTCGGTCCACCACATCGTTTCGTCTCTCACCCGTCACATTCACCCACTGCAGGTCTCAGCACTTATCTCTCTCTGCTTGTTCCCTCGCACCACTCCACTTTGGAATTCCCTCTCGTCGTCTCTCTTCCGATATCCTCGCTCAAATGAAGAAATATCTGAAAGCCTATCTGTTTCCCCTTCAATAGTGCTGTTTGTTGCTGGTTGCTTGACGTTTTGGCTTTTTCAGCTTTTAGATTTATGTTTCCTAATATGTATGCCCCCCCCGCCCCCCTTTCTAAGTACAGTAAAACCTTGGATTGCGAGTAACTTGGTCTGCGAGTGTTTTGCAAGACGAGCAAAATTTGTGAATAAATATTAATTTGATAAACGAGCGAGGTCTTTCAATACGAGTAGTAGTACGTATACGCTTTGTCTGCCGAGCGTCACGTGATCACAACTGATATACGAGTGCTTTGATATACGAGTGCTTTGGATTACAAACGCGTTTCCGGAACAAATTATGCTCGCAATCCAAGGTTTTACTGTATTCGCACCCCCATGTTATTTTTCGTACCGTCACCTTCCCTTTCAGATTCGTCTACATGCATGCGTTTTCAAAGAAATCCTTAATTTTAGAACTCCCTTCGTTCACGCCAACGTTCGCTCAATGTTCTTTCAGGTTAATTTCACGTTATCGCGCCATCTGGTTTGGCCATAATTTTGTCCTAGCCGATGTTTGCGGGAGCGAATATTCATTCCCCCGGGGGTACAAATATGAAACTAAATTTGTGGCTGGAGCAACAAACATTTCGGGGCGACTCACACCGGCACTAATCGGCGTGCTCTTCCACGAAGACGCCCCGAGGGAGAAAGCGTGGCAGCAGCAGCAGCAGCAGCGTTTGGTTCGTGTGAGCAGCAGCTCGGCCATGTGGAGTTGCGTCGATGAGTTTGTGAACAATATAACGCACAGCATGACAATTGGGGGATCTGCATTGGCAGCAACAACAAAAAATATATATAAACATACCGCGGTCATTGTTCAGACTGTCTTATGACAGACAAACACGTAATATATGATGGGATTAAATAGGGGCGATTGCTGGACTTTCTTGTCAAATATTAAATGGGGTAGGTGTTAGATGTTTTCGAGTCTTTTGTCATCATTAGCAGTCGACCTTGTGCTCTGTGCGGTCCCCGGGGTCACACCTGGCACGTCGAAGTATCGCAGCACCACCTCCGGCGCCTTGACCTCTCCGGCCACGTTCCGCGCCATGCACTGGTAGGTGCCCTGGTCGGTGTGTCGCGTGTCGCGGATCATCAGCGTGCCGTCCTGCAGAAGGTTCCGTCGCTCGTCCTCCGCCATCGCTATTTCATTGCTGCGAGCGTCGGGGAAAAACGCGGAGCGGGAAAAAAAACACGGAGCGGGAAAAAAAAAACACGGATTGGGAAAAAAAACACGGATTGGGGGGCACGGACGCCGCTCAGAGCCGGCAAGCCTTTGGGAACGCGGAGCGGCTTCGACAAAGAGTTGCGGTTTTAGCAAAAATATAAACAAAATCCCTTTTTGCATAAACAATGATGTTGACCAGCGGCATCTCTTGCTAAGCCGTGTCCCACATAAAAGGCAGATGTTGCTTAAGCTGTTGTTTGCAACACCAACGATGTCTGCGATCTGCACTCTGATCCAGACACCGCTAGATATAAATGTATAAGTTATATATACTTACGCATTACCGGTTTAAATTAGAATGCAACTAAACAACCAAAGAGCATCGACCTCGGTCCATCTTAATATGACACAACTTGTGAAGGTAAACTTATATTTCTTTCATTTCATATCAATTGAAAAAATTCAAACTCATTTCCTGAGAACTGCTTTTTGTGTTTAGTTTGTTGTCCTTACCCCGCACCTCCGATCAGCACGGTTGGCTACGTACGGCGTGAAAGAAATTCAACGTACAATGATAACAATTGTGTTTTTGGGTGCATAGATATTAAATGTTTCTTATTTGAATGTCATGCGATTGACTAAACATGAATCGCGGTTCTCTGACCGCAGTCGCCGTGTAAGACATGTCAAACAATATGTGCAATTTGTTTGACAGCCTTTGAATCTTCCAGTTTTGCTCCGAAGCTATGAGACAATGCAATGCACAATGGCGACGCAAGGGGTTGACACGTTTGGCACGACATGGCAGCGATTTGATCGCCACCTCTGCCTGGCGATTCTGCGGCTCACTATTAGCCGATTGAATCGTGAAACTTTAACGGCAGTGACACCGGATCGTAAAGCCAGGAACCGGTGACTGCTTGCCAGTAGAATTTTAGGAATGAATTGCGTTGATTTACCACATTATTTCAACTACCGTACCGGGAGTTGGAACCAAATCAGTGTCCTATAGATTTGCCAGTCCCGTGCGTGAACCATTACACCACAGCAGCTGCAGTCTACGTTTATTACTCAAAAGGTAAAAAAAAAATGTCCATTCATTGCTCGGGACATTTCTTGATGTATGGCAAAACCGGCGACTGGGTTTTTACCGTTTTTTTGTTTTGTTTCGTGTGGTGAATGGTAATGGAAAAAGTTAACATCTCCCTGGACGGGACGTGGCCACGTAACGGAGGCACCTATTGTGGAGCCAGATGATGGCTGGTTTGGGGTTCCCCTCGGCGCGGCACCGGAGGTACACCGTGTTACCCGGAGTCACGTCCACATCGTGCGGCTCCGAAGTGATGCGAGGGCTCTCTGTGGGAGGAGGACACAGACGAAGATCCCCCGTGCAGCCTTAACAGACTGTTGGGGCAAGTGCCGTTAGAAAAAACTGCACCTATGAAGGCCGGCACGACACCACGCCCGACCGCCTTTGTCTACCCAGTGGCAATGTTTACACATTGTACCAGGTACTCATTTGAGGCTGAGTCGACCTAGGGGAGGCCCAGAACCGATTCAAATAATTGCCACTGGTGTTGACCTTGAGCGGGAGCCGAACTCGGGTCTCCGTGTTGGTATACGCAGCTCGCTAACCGGTGCACTGCTGCTGCCCCATAAGGAGGAGGACACATGTAGCGCACCATCCACTCACAGCTGCCATGCAGAGCAACGTGTCACCAAACAAACGCGAAGCGAGCCTCCAGAGCTGCACGTGTCATCCTCAAAAGACAGAACAAGGTGGTTCAGAGGTTATAGCAGAGAGTTGGCACCGCTGATATCCTGCGTTTGAAAACCTGCTGTGATTACACTGCTGCGATTAAACTGGGCACTCAAGTGTAGTGAGTTCATCGTTTTAGCCCCGTGACCAATTACTGCACGTACAAACACATTCCCATTACATTCGAAATTAATTCTGCACTATACTCTTTGGTACCAGGGGGTCGCTTTAAGCAATCTCAGCGGTAGCTCTGTGGTGTCCGCTTCCGTGGGGCGTCCTCTAACATCGAAGGGTTGCGATCCTAACGGTGACGTCATCCCACGACGCATCCCATGACGCCAAGACAACGTTCCATTGTGGAAATAGCAGTCTGTGACCAAATCACCCGGAACGCCCTCGATATTGTCAAATCTCCGAAGCCAGGCAGGTGTCAGGCTGTATCGGGCTTGGGCCGGTGACCACCATGCCTCACCAGCAGGTGCAGTGGGCGTCGTGGGCAGTCGAGGGCAGTGCAGCAAAAATATTGCACGCTGTGGCTCTGCACTTCCCCGTGTCCCCCGCAACCGCCTTTACCAACCCACGCTGACCCGCATGGTGAAGTATAGTCAAAATATCCCTCGCGGCCCTGACACAGCGGTGGATATGACACGAGCGGCCGCGACCCAGGAGAGTATAGCGGCCGTGTGACGAGAGCTCCATTCCCGTCACCCTCCTGAGCGAGGTCTCACACAGAACGCAGCGTGAACAGCGCCAGCGGCTGCAGAGCGCCTGGGGGTGGCTCGGCGGGGCAGCGCAGTGTAAACCCTCGCGGGCTCACACACGAGCACACGGGCAAATACTGGCACTCACGTACAAAGACAAAGATCCCCCGTATAGCCTTCACCGACTGTTGGGGCAAGTGCTGTTAGCGAGTTGCACCTATGAAGGCCGGCACGGCACACGAGGGGTGGGTGGCCAGCATCACGCCCGGCCGCCTTCGTCTCCCCAGTGGCGATGTTTTTCCACATCGCACCAGGTACTCAATGGAGACTGAGTCGACCTAGGGGAGGCCCAGGACCAGGTTTCAACTAATCGTCAATGCTGTTGGCCATGAGCGGGAATTGAAACTCGTGTCTCCGGGTTCGTAGCGCAGTGCGCTAACCACTGCACGGCCGCACTCACGTACGCACACACAACACGCACACACCGATGGACATCACATCACTGGAATGGCAACAACAGATAAGAGGATGGATGTGGCTTTCCAAGGAAACACCACATTCCACAGGTGACTTGCAGCACAGACACAACGGTCAGTCAGGCCACGATTGCAACCTCCGTTGTCACCATGCACATGACGAGACGATGACACTTCCACGGTCGCGGTGGGCCACCCACGATGTGGCGTTTAAACGTTGGCGATTTAAAGGGGGGAGGTAGGCAAGGCTTGGGTGATGTGGGCAACTGCATACAAGTGGGAAACATATCGCTTTGTTTACTTTTAATGAACTTGTAAATTATCCTTGACAGAGATAGTGGCATAATTGGCTTAAATTCCTTGCAGGCAGGCTTGCCAGGGCCTACAAATGTGAATTTACAGCCAGCCCAGGCAGCAGACAACAACACCGCACAGCAAGCGGCATTCTCCAGCCGGGCTGCCAAACCAAAACGAGGGAGATTTCTGTAAAACATAAACAACCGAGTGCAGTTTCCTTCCTCCATTATTTAGATGTTGTATCCAGCCCGGTACTCAGAGCCCGACGGAGGGAGAGAGGGGAGAGCGGAATGTGAGGGCCCCCTGGTGTGATGGGACCCTTTCGAGGTGCACAGTGGCAAGAGAGTGCAGTGGCCCTCGCAGTAGTAGCTGGCTCCACAAACTTGTCCGCGGTGAGGTGACCATGCAACGTGTAACAGCGCAATGCCTGCACCACAAATACGGAGGCATCGCAGCAATACACTCCGCTGCTCCGGACGCGCTTATCTGGCTCGACCACCGTGAATGTGAAGAAGAAGAAGAAGGAAATTAACTTGTGATTCTGATTTAGTGCCTATGGTGGGATGGGATCCAGGCACATTCGCCGCGGTGAAACGGGTCACACGGGGGGGGGGGGGGGGGGGGTCAAACAAAAGAGCCGGACACAGCGGGTCACACGTGCGCAGGAGCCCCCACCGTCCATGCCAGCGCCGGACCTCACCGCAGTGGAACTCCTGCGCGGTGATGCTCGACACCGACCGTCCCTGTAACCGGCGCGGGTGTTCGCAGGTGGCAGCTGCCAGCGTGCCACCGGAACCGGCGAACGCCCGCAGCAGCTCGGCCAACCACACCAGCTCGCAGTCGCACACCAGCCGGTTGGAGTCGAGCCGCCTGGTAGATGCCAAGGGGGAGAAAAAAAAAACTTAAAAAAAACGCACCGCACAAGGGCCACGTTTCATTGACGGTGACAGGGGGCTTATTTTCAAGCCCTCGGTTGGGTTTCGCTTGGCACGTGTTGCGTTATACACTGCCGGCGGTGGCACCACGGTGAGGGCAGAAAACTCAGCGGGCGGCGCCCCCCTCATCCCCACACAATGCAAATGGACACTTACGCTGCTGCTTTTCTAGCCGACGTGTGCGCTAGTGTGTGTGTGTGTGTCTAAGTGCGGACACGCTAGTGCCGTTGTTAGCACACTACGCTATGACTTCGTTCAATTCTCAGCCACGGCTAGCGTCAGCAGTGACTATCTGAACTGGTCCTGGGTTTTCCCTACATCGACTCAGCCTCAAATGAGTGCCTGGTGCAGTGTGCGAGACATCAGCACTGGGAAGACAAAGGCGGCCGGGGAGTGGTTGCTGCTTGGTGTCGATATTATTAGGCAGTCTGAACAGGCTATACGGGAGATCCTTTTGCCTTTGTTTGTGTGCAAGTGAAGGTTGTGTTAGAATATCCGAGTGATCGCCAATGCCGATGTCGCCGTGGGCTCTCTAATACTCGGTTGTCCGTGTGCGGATTCATCCCCGTTGCAGGATCAACCACGCGCGCAACATCACTGGGGGAAATGGTAAACGTGGCAATGGCAAAGGTGCAGCCCTGCAACCACTCGCTCACGCCACTGCCGGCGGAAGGGCTTCCGGTAGCGAGAACTCTCGAGGGCGTTTGGCCTACTCGTCCACGTCGAGCAGGCTTGTTGTAAGAGCCGGGCGTGCACACACTTCAGCCCACGCAACACACCACGGGGCACTGCTGGGTGGACCAGGCGTGGCTGGAGAGAGGTGCCGCCGTTGTTTCAACTCCCGCGCCAGGAGGTGGAATCGAACCGGCGACTGGTGTCGCAGGTCCGACGTGCTGGCCACTAACAACCACGGCAGCTTCCAGGAAATCTGCTGTTGTCCGCTCATTCCTGCCCTTACACGCCGCAGCTGCTTCGATTATTATGAGCTGATCAAAGCTTGTGACTCTGCCACCACTTACTCTGAGAGGCAATTCAAATGACTGGTACATTCTCCCGTTTTTAGCCTCGCTTTACGAAAGGGAATAATGCATGCGTTGTACAGCCCGATCCACAAGTGTTTTGCATTGTCTGTGTTTGATTTATCAGGGACAGCCACTCCCTTCTCCTCCATCACCCTGGGATAACTGAGACTTTAACACCCTGATTAATCATGAAATGATTAACAATCGGCCTATTCGTCATCCGCAGTTATTCTTCAAAGCATGTGTTTAACCAGACGCATTACACACGCAAACTCATTCAGCCGTTTCCACTTGTATGGCCTCACCAGCAGTCAAGGCCTGGTAATCGAGTTCAGTGTTCTTCACTACCTTTCAGAGAGGGGCCCCTTTCGCCCATAAGACGTCGGCGTGAGGGCCACCACGCCGCCTGCAAGGGCTGCTATGACACGTTGTGGATTGTAGGAGGCCGCATTAAAGGCCTTCAGGAGCCGCCGGTAGCCCGCGGGCCTTGCAATGAAGAACACCGCTCTGGTTGCTACTGGATTGTTAGATGTGAGATAGCAAGGAGCACGCAGTGACATCTGCAGGGACAAGTGAGCAGAAACAGTAGCAAACCGCGCCCCGACAGCATTGCTCCACCATCCCTCCATCGCCCCGCTCAACTCCTACGATCCATCCGATCCGTATCCGGCTCGTACGTGTGAATGACTCATCAACCGAGCACTCCGAGCCAACTCGGGCAGCGCAAACACCCCAACAAAAGCAAGAACCTCTGCGTAAAGCGTTGCACGAGTGAGTCGTTTACAAAACACGGTCACGGCACATGTCAGCCTCGCTCGGCAAGAAACCCACTTCAACTCGACTCGACCCCGCACTCCTTCTCCACTCCCCAGCAGCCGCTACCCACACCCAGGCATTGCTTCACATGTTATTCAGCGCCATAATCCACCCCCAATAATCGTACGATGTCACACACATGGTATGTAAATAGTTACATTGTAAATTCTCAAACTCGGCTTAAACCTACTGAATCTTTCTGTGATACAAAAAAAAAACTGTTTGAAACATCATGACATCATTCTTTCTCGTCACTCTTGGCCCGGAGGGCAACATTTTAGTGGAATATTTTCTTCTTTCCCGCTTCACTCTGCCACGGTTCAACCTCATGAATCTTCAAGGTCACAAAAACAGCCCATGGCTGTTCCAAGCGGAGAGTACGGACAAGCGAATCCTGCGCATCAATCCTCTACCCTCAAACACTCCGTCGGCAGCTTCATCAGCTGAGAGTAATGTGAAAACCACTGGCGCTGTTTAGACACTGCCTGGCCTGAGATCGCCAAACAACAAACAGCTGGACAAGACACGAACAAACAGGAAGCTGAGTAAACTTGATGCAACAACCCCAGAAAAATTGGTAGTCACGTCAGGGCTGGATAAAAGGGCCTTAAACTCGAGAGAGCTCAAGAGAAAGCGCTCTGCGGAGGGTAGTTTGGCCTACTCTTCCACGGCGGCCAGGCATCTCGGAAGCGGTCGGAGTACCCACACTTTACCCCACCACACGCAACGAGCCGATCGACCGTGGTGTAGTGGTTGATGTCGCTGGGTGGACAAGGGCCTGGGAGTGATTGAAGAATCTTTCACCATTGCTTCAACTGCTGTTCCGGGAAATGGAATCGAACTGGCAACCATCTGAATCTCAAGTCCAATGTGCTCACCGTTATGCCGCGGCAGCGGTCCCCTTAGTTACATTTACATATTCTTACTGTACGTGTAAAATGTAAGCAACCTAAACTGATACAAGTGTGTGCTGGAAGGCCAAATTTTGGATAGTTAATAAATGCGAAAGTCCAACGTCTGTTCTTTCGTTCGACCGTTCGTTGTAAATTCGACGAAATGCGGTTCAGCGTTGAACACGGCAGCTCTCACCACAACAGACCGCGGTCGCTCCACAGCGCCCGGAAGTCGCATCGGTGCCCTACCACAGCGGCATATACTGATTAAGATCCGTTCCTTCCTACCTGCAACCGGTTCGCTTGCCGTGATCTTCATGCACTCTACCTCAATTTGACATAGTGTCATAGGGCTCAGGAAGAGACCGAAACAAGGGAGAACAATCTTGCACGTGCATGGATTATTTAAAGCGTTCCAACAAACATTTGTCCGAAAGGGCATTGAATGTGTTTTATGGGAGCTGAATCTAATATTCCTTTCTGCACTGATTTGTGAATGTCAATTTTTGGGCAACTTTTTTATTCATTTGGCCAGTTATCTATCCGGTTAAGCCCTAATTAGCAGCACAACGTGATACTAAATTTGTATTCACATTGGATCATCTTTCGCAGAATTATAGTTAAGCCACTTTCCAGACAGACAGGCAGTGACGCTTTTAACCTCGGCTGCAAAACGTTTAAAATTGAATTAAAACCATCAATAAAAAAACTATTTTTTGTGCTCTTAAATCTGAGTGCCTTGATAAGTCGCTGGAATGCTGCCGCCTGGTCCTCTGCCCAGGCATCTGTAAGGCGCCCCCACACTCACAAGCGTCTCAGAGAGCTCAGCTGCGTGAAGGTCCCCGTCGCGATCCGCGATAACCTGTTGTTGTGCAGAAATCTAAAAACAGAAGGGGGGAAAAAAACACAGCACAGCATCAGCACAGCACGTTAAAACTCTCCATCCGGATGTTTTTCAAATCCGATATTTATTTATTTATGTACTCTTTCTGGTTAGGAGTGTGGCTGAAACATGACGAACCCTAGTGAAGGCGAGAGACCTGCGGTGGCACGGACGCGTTGTACGCATATGTACGTTGAAGTTCTTTAGCAGCGTACGTAGCCAACCGTGCTAATCGGAGGTGCGGGTGGAGGGTGGGAGGACAAAAAATGAATGAGCCCGGGCGTGATTCCCGCACTCGGCGAGGCTGCAACGCGAAGGTGGCAGAAGAGACTCGAGGAGGGGAGAAGAGACGGAAACCCGGAGGGACGGACGCAGCGGGGAGAGATTGAGCAAAGAAAGGATCGAGAGCGAGCGGAGCAGCGACACCGGACAGAGAGAACCGCCGTGGAGATCCATTCGGCCCCTTCGCCGCGAATGAGCTGACGGAAGGGACAGACAGCCGACGACGATTTATTTTCTTTGTAAAGTTAATATCGTGGCTTTAGTGAAAATAGCAAGAACACAGAAAACGACAGTGACGTAGAATCATGCAAAGTGGCCGTGCGATGAGTGCTTGGCGCGGGGAGGGCTCCACACTCACAGTCTCTCGAGCTTGGGTAGATCAACAAATGTGTTGGGCTCCAAGACTTCTATGTGGTTGAAGTGAATGTACCTATTCAAACACAAACACGGGCACAGGGCATGAACTCAAGCCTGACTAAACACCCAAAAAGGACACTTACCTTCGCCACGTTGCACGGTGAAATGAACACACGCACACACGCACGCGCGCAAAAATAACAAGCAACGTAAACTGTTCAGCGTACACAGGCTGTGCTGTGTTTAAACTCAAAAAAACAAAAACTGTAGTTTTACAATTTGCACGTTTCTACTTAGGCTGTGCATTCCGAGCATTGTCCAACACAATGCTGGAGGACATAGCTAAGCATTTAAAAACACAAACAAACTTAGAAGCGCGGTAGTGACGGCGTATACGATAATCACGAGACACGTGGTTCAGAAAACGTGGATAATTACACAGAAAATGGAACGCAAAACTGGAAAGTGTTCACAGAAGCGTGGAGAGGTGCACCCTGGGAATGCCACTGCGAGACAGTAAGAGGAGCATGTGGATGAGAAGGATATCCAAGTTGGATACATCCATGCTGACTGTTCATGAAAGTAAGGGGCTTCGGTGGAGTATGGGGACAGGAGAGACGATGGCCGCAGGTCGAGACGGATGACAGAGTGGCAGCCCAAACAGGGTCTTCGCCCGAGAGAATATTCACCCTTCGCCGCGGAGATGGAGCGGTGAAATCCGCTCGTGTATCCGTGCTATGTGGCTTGTTGCATCGTAGAATCACGAAAGACGATGACATGGGGAGGTCTTCATGGCTCATTGTTATTATGATGACAGCGTCACCGCAGTAGCATTGTTCTCCAATCCCCGCCACCTCCATCCACCCGCCCCTACCTCCTCATCGGATTCTTCCAGGATGTATAAAGATTCCGATCATGAAGCATACATGGGCACACCGCAGCGTGACGGCAGGTCGCGTGTGCTGGGGTAAAGTTTGGGTATTCCCATCTCTTCCAAGACGTGGAGTCGGCCAAGATACACTTGACAGGGTCTCTCTAGATCTCCCTCGAATGGAGGCGTAAGCAAGAAACTGCAGGGCTGCACCTTTACCCTTGCACGGACACAGCAGTAAGGCAGATTATCCTTACGCTCTCCCAAATCACCTAACGCTGCAGAGGCCGACACGGAATGTTTTGTGGGGGCGCATGCGATGTGCGATGCAGTTCCCGTCTCTCTGCTTTAGTCAATCTGCGCCATGAACAACGACAACTCAAGTCATGCACCCGAGCAGTGAGTTACCTAACGTGGGTTAGCGCACACGTGCTCAATTCATCATTTGTGTTCAGACAATTCACTTCCGCATGCAAGCACATGTGTTAGTTTAATGCACACAAGGAAAAGGAAAATCATGCGTGTTTCACAAAATGAAAAGCCATGTGGTGTGAGGAAGCAGGCAGGGCAAGTGAAGGACAACAGTTGGAATATATATTGGTTATTATAATCTGTAGATTGTATTTATTTTCCAGCTGTTTTACCACAGTGTGAAATGCTGACGAGGCTCACCCGGACATAACACTCAACTACGAATCCCTGGCCATTAACCTCGATATAAAAAAAACACATTACTTCCAGTGTGACTTAACAAAATGATATCGTTCCTTCAAAGTGGAAACATTCAACTTCCGCAAATAAATTTGAAAGGAAGTGGCCTCTTCAAACATCAAGCCATCACGTCGGTGTGGAAATGGAACCAATGCCATCAAAGTAATCACGGCCGCCCAGAGGTCCCTGGAGGCACGGGGATCGAGGCTTGGGGTGGAATGCCACCTGGGCCCTCCCGCTTTATTCTAGACAAACCAAAAAGTAAAATTAAAAAAACTCTCCGGCGTGAGGTGACTGTGCTCACACAGAACAGACCGTGGAATGTATCACCACGTCCCATTCACCAATACGAAAGAGGCATCACAGCGAAGCACCGCACTGCTACACCTGACGGAAATCTGTGGCTCAACTGACCTCGATGTATAATTATAGCTGTTGCTCTACATCAACAATAAATATACGAAGAAGAAGCAGCAGCAAAAACAACAAAAAAACCCAGACCCATTGTGGGACCCTCTTTTGTGTGAGGCCCAGGGCGAATGCCCTCTTTGTCCTCCATCCCCTCTGGGCGGCCCTGACGACAATGCAGACACAAGGATAATGAAAATGCAATTTGCCAGACGCTGGAAGATGCAATCATTGATTAACGAGGGCGCAGAGGGAGCGGTTAGTGGTGGCAGCGCAAGCAACATCCAAGCCAACAGAACACTTACAGTTGCTCAAGAGACACAAGCCCTTTAAACGCGTGCCTGTCAATTGACTGGATCTCATTCTTGTACAGATAGCTGAAAGAGAAACAACCCACAAGTGATCAGAGAAGCTCCACACATCATCGGAGAGGCTCGCGAACGTGTTACGCTTGGCGGCAGCAGCGGCACCACGGAGGAGGAGGTAGCGGAGGAGGAGGAGGAGGAGACGCGGCACTCGCGGATCTAGGGATCATCCTGTGATCTAATTTGTCACAGTCCGACACGGAATTACATTTGGCAATAGGCTACGGTCATTGTTGCGATATTGTTTTCCTTACATTTGTAATTCTACTGAACGTATTTATCGTCTTTTGCGATGATGTACCCCACGCACGAATAAAGATTACCCAAAAGTTATTCAACTGCAGTTCATGCAGCACAAGCTTGTCGCAAGTCTGAGAAGCAGTGCGACTTGAGACTCTGCAACGCGTGCAGCGCACACGCTGCTGTCAATTAGACGTAATGAAATAATCATACACATCATGGAAACGAATCCGCCTACCTACCAAACTTTGAACAAAATACTTTTTCCACAAAGCACTACATTAATAGGAAAAATCTATTTAATTCGGACTTTAATTATATTTATAGAGCATCTTGAACAATGGCGCTCTATAATCATTGTTTATTCATACATATTTTGTCAGGAAATTAAATGTTAGAATTTATTTTATGAATACAGTATTTATAATAATTTAAAGCAGCCAATACGTCAGGGCGCCTCTGAGCGCCTTGCACACGATAAGCCACTTACATGTCACATCTCATCTCAATAATTTTAAACAGCAAACCTAGTGGCAGCTGTCCCTGTGTGACACACGGTGACCCAGCACCTGACCTGCCGGTATGGGGCGACGCTTGCCGCTGCTGCTGCTGCTGCTGTGTGTGTAATCCCAATTGAGTAATCTGAACAACGATAATCACGATATGGCGATATTTTGCTAAGATTGATGAGTCGATTATCGTGAATCTTATAATCGCACGATACATATTGAAGTGTCACCGCGTAATAGCGACCCCAAGCACAACGTGGAGCAAAAATCCCCACGGGTGTGCAGAGAAGGCCACATGTAGAGAAGAGTGGAGTGCACGTCGCGGTATTTGTGATGCATGAAAGCACACGGTTCAACTTTACGTACAAAGGGAATGGTGAAAAAAATAATCGACGTGACCTGAAATCGCGGGGCGAAACAATTCCCGGCGTCGTCTGTCTAAAAATAATTCTCAGCGTGGAGAGACATTTTGCAAAGGACAATTACGGCTACAGTTGAAATTATTTTAATCCCCCAAAAAAAATTAACGTGCTGAAGGTCACTGGGAAAGAATTGTAAATTACAGAGAACAAGTTTGGCCGTACAGTGGAATGTCACCTGTCGCGCTACGTGTTTTACTATTCCAAGGATAATAGCCCACCAGCGGTGATAAAAATACAGAAAAAAAGCATATGTTATCCAGAAGTGAAAAACGGAGCTCTTCAAAGGGACAGGAGCGACACACAACAAAAACCAGAGAAACATTCGGGCTATCACGCCGACAGCGCGCATGCGAGGCGTTACGCGCAACTGGCTTGCCAAAGGTTTCAGTCGTTGCCGTAAATTTTGCCGGCGAATATAAGCCACCATCAAAAGGGAACAGCGGGGGGTGGCAGGCATGCTGCTATATATATACGGCGCAGTCGCATGCGACTCCTAACGGCTGTACGGCTACCGGGCGCCTCGCGAGCGGCGCCACTGCGATGGACGGTGAAACTGGCACACCACGTGCATCATTGGCGACGTCAAGAAGACGAAACGCACACGCACGCGCGGTTCGTACGTGCACTTTGCCAAATGTACATACCGTACGTAAGTTTCTACTCAGTTAGTGTACGGGATGCTACGAAATGCGCCGATGTCTTCATCGCCTACCGTGTCTTGAAAGACAGGCAAGGTTTACACACGTTTACAGGGTGATCCATTTATAGATGCCCCACAATAACGAGACGTCAGCTAGTGGGATAACAACATCTGAATTCAAAGCCTCCACACGTCGCCCACAAACCTCCGTGCGACTTATATTTTAACCAACCTCCTCCGTCAGATGCGGAGTCATCGCTTGCACAATCGCCAATCAGCTGTCGAGGAGAAACTGAGAGGGGTCATTCGACATCGCTGGGGCACGAGTAATGGATCACCCTGCACTGTATATTTCCAACAACAACAATAAAACCACATGAAATTGTTCCACGACCATTTTTCACTTGGCGTGAAGCTGACCGTGGGCTATTCACGCCTGCCTGGGTGGCTTCCACGATGCCTCGTCAACAGAAGACCGGCGCCCGTGGCGAGCTGCCCGCCACGCCTGGGCCCGCATTCTCCCGACTCCAATTGCAGCTGAGAGTTTGAACCCCTCGGGCTTGCCCGCAAGGCCCCAACTCTGAGTCTCGACAATGTTAGGGGCATTGGTGCCCATTGTGTGGCCTTCTGAATCCGAGGACGACTGCTCCACAATAACTTAACGAGGGGCGTAATCTTTCCGGAGCGGGCAGGGTGCCGCCATCACTCACAGATATTTGAGGCTTTCCAGGTCTTCAAACGCTCGCCTCGGAATCCGCTTGATGTGGTTGTTATTCAGTAATCTTTGAGGGGGAGGAAAGAAAGAAAGAAAACGAGAGCAGCGCACAGCAGCCACGAGATTAATATTGATGGCATCGCGGTCCAAACGATCAGAAAAAAAACATTTTCTTTGTAACTTATTTATTCACCACGGACCGATATAATCAGAGGATGAATTTATTGGGGGGAAAAAGTTTCAATTCCATTGCCAACTCCCCGTAGGCTTTGTCACCTCTCAGCAAGCCAAGGGCTTTACTGTAAGCTTCGAATAATTTGCAGCTAATCCAAAAATTGGGTTTGTGTTCTTCTCTGGTGGACAGTTGGCAGGAGCCGCTGCACGGGAAGTTGATAATCGCTGTGAGAATGCTTCCAGGGTTGGAAACCTGGAAAGGGTAACAATGGACGGTAAAGCTGGCTGGTGGAATGTAACTAGGGCCAACTTTAGAGAGAGAGAGAATTAAGATTATTTTGAAAAGTGGCCACGTGAATCTACCCCCGGTTTGTTACGAGAGCCAGTGGACGGAGTGATTAACCGCTGAGGTGAGAGAGAGCTTGATGTTTTCCTGTAGGAAACGTAGTCAGGGAACATTTCCAGTTTTAAAACAAATGACGGCCTGTTGCAGGCAACCATTACTCAGTGCGCTCGTACGCTGATCTGTTTCCATAGCTTCGTTAAACTGACATCCGCAATTGATCAAAAAAATGTGTGCGATTGAGCAGCTACTCGGAACCCAGTTTGTTCTGAGGTGCAACCGCTTGCCGCTTAAGGCCACAGGCGGTAAACCGTGCCTCGTCTCTACGTGGCATTAGGGCAGTGGGCCACCTCAAAACACTCTTAAATATGTTTTAATTGTGATTAAAAAGTACAAAAAATATTTATAAATTGAAAAATTGTTTTAAAACAGTGGGTGTTGAGTCATTGTCACAGATATTTTTGGAAATTACGAAACTATTGAATTATGGGGCGCCCGATGCAAAGCACACGCACTCGGTTCTGCCACTCGCTGAAGGAATTTCATAAAAGGGGGCCCAATAATTGTTGCCCCCGCCGATTAAAACGTTTCCGTTCACAGCCCATTTGCATATGAACAGCCAAGTCACCACCCTCCCCGTGGTACCACCAAAAATGTGACCCACGAGCCCCCAGCGGTGGTCATGCCATATCCCACAGCTAGTGCCCTCCATGGCGCGTGCCCTGCCACGGCACGCACCACCACGATGCGTGCCCCCACGTGGGCGCACGTGCCCGCCCGAGGCGCGTATCACCATGGCGCCCAGACAAACCACGGTTGTGTCCCCTCCGGGAGTGGGGGGACGAGAGCGCACCTGGTCCAACAATTGTGCATCAATCAGGTGCGTCTCACACCCGCGATCCGTACCCACGTGCACGGAGCGCCTGCCCGGAGGGCTTCCACGGTGAGGTGGGGCGGGATCGACGACCCGCCTGACGGGAAGAGCCGCATTCCCCCACGGGTTGAACGTTCACGCGCCTTGCGATACGCAGCGCTCACAGACTCCAACGCAGCCGTCACAGGAGATATCTTAATGCGTGAATGTCTGCCACGTCTTTTTTGCGTGTGGTCGAATTCCATTTTTATATAAATAAAAAAATCCATAAAAGCTACAATTCCAGAGTTCTTCCTCATGTGTCTATATAAAAAGCCGCACATGGAAGCACACCTTCCACTTAAGAGACTTTTGTTTTTCTCCATCGTCGTTGCTGATCTTTGCGGCATCTGGCCGTAAGACAGGCAGCCACGAAGAGGTCGCTTAAAGAAGCCGGCAGCGTTGGCGAGGCCGCTGCTGCCGGAAGGGCCTCCACTTAAGAGAGCCCGAGAGAACCCCTCTGGCGGGTGTTTCTTGGCCTACTCTTTCAGACTGACCAGGCACCTTGGAGTAGATGGGTGTACCCACAAAAGCAACCCACCACACGTGACATGCCCGTCAGTGGGTCTACTCATTTACACTTATGGGAATTAAGAAAATTGCACGATCGGTTGAATTGCCGCTTGGATTGCAAGCTCACTGCGCTCACCGTTACACCACGGAGGCATCCGTGCCTGGCAGATAAATGTGAAAAGCAGAGCCGCGGTGTCTTGCCAGGAACGAAATGCACCGGGGAAATCCAACATTGATCTGTGACGGACGTTGAAAGCGGTGGCTTCTCTGTAAACGCATTTCTATGACCCGCCTCCTCCAGCGCACGGCCTCTTTGTCCTCACGACTACGTGGCGCGGATTTCAGTGCGTGGCTGACGTATTCCACGACGATTCGAAACGGTAACGCTCTGTTTTTTTAATGTATTTTTACGTGTGCCCAGATCGCCAACGTCATCCAGGTCGCTATTGAATCTGCGCAGCGGGGGGGGGGGGGGAGAATGAAAGAGACAAAGCGATCTGCATTGCTCATCTCATCGCTCGCTATTACTCCAAACGGGTATTCGGCGTGTCACTGGGAAAACAAAAAACACCTTACGGTGGTGGTTTGGTTCCCTGGCTTGGCCAATGCAAAGTCTCTATTTAGCGGTTGGTGCTCTCGGACAAGAAAACTAATCTCCTCTAAATATCCTGCAGCGTTACCGACTGCTTTCTGTTGCGCGCGCGCACTGCCACTGTGCGCCTCTGACCTACTTCGATTGTTATTATTACGCTTGGCAGGAGTACAACCCAAATTGCGCCACGAGCAATTAGTGAGAAGGTTTTTTTTTTGTTTGCACATTTCCGAACTTCTATTAAGTCAGAGGACCCACGTCGTAGTAAAAAACCTGCCGTGGTGTTGCTGTTGTGTAATGGTTAGAGCACTAGACTTTAAATTCGAAGATCGTCCGACATGGCAGATGACCGAAAGGTGAAGCGCTGAAATCCCCCACCGCCACTGTCCAGCCAACAGTATAAATGGTTCCACCGCAGTGAGTCGATCGACAGGCCGCGTGCGGTGGGGTAAAGCTATGGCATCTCCCACCTCTTCCAATATGTCTGGGCAGCGTGGAAGAGTAGGCCAAACACCCTCTAGAGTGGGTCTCTTAGAGCTCTCTCTGGTGGAGGTCCTTCCACCAGCAGTGGCGTAAGCAGGAAATTGCATGGCTCCAAATTTACCTTGACGAATATAACTTTTAGAGATGAATCCAGGAAAGGGAAACTGAGCAAAAGAGTGACGATTACTAGTATTACTAGTATTACTACTAGTATTACTAGTGTTAACGGTCAAATGGAAAAGCTGCAGCCCTGCAATTGCTTGCTCACACCACTTCTGGCACAAGTGCCTCCAAAAGGAGCAAACTCTATCGAGGGGTAGTTGGCCTACTCTTTCAAGTTGACCGGACATGTTGGAAGAAGGTGGGAGCACCCACCCCTTTACCCCACCGATCCCGATGTGCCGATCGACGAACACTTCTACCCATTTGCACTGCAGAGTGGACAGAGGTGGATCGAGATTTGAGAGGCATGCCGGCGACCTTGTGCGTTGCAGGTCCAGGTTGCGAACCGTTGCACCAGCTCGGCTCCCACTATCCGTGCGTACGACGTCGGACCAGGCAATACCGTGAATCCGAAACGCAACTGCGGTGGAAACACTCGCAGCCGTGAAATTTTGTGCATCGCTTAAATGCGGGGATATAGGTTTTAAAAAAATCCCTTCGAGCAACAGAGAAGGATATTTCAGGTATTCATGCCAGACAAATCGTTCGACTTATCTGTAATTGAAAAGATTACATAAGGCGGGCAAAGTAATCACATACAGCAAATGGGCCGGCTTCTGTGCGATAGCAGGGCCGAGCATTAAATACCAAGCGTACGCCCCCGAATGATGAGAAATGCCTGCAGTTAAAGTTCCTAAATCACCATTCCAAGAGCAAATGCTTTCAACAGCTGCTTCTTATCACCGCGATGAGTGACAATGCGGGCAAGATTCAAATTACGAAAGGCTCAGCCCAGCGAGCTGGTAGGACAATGCTATTTCAGAGTGCCCGCATTCCATCTTGTGAGCCGTGGGCCCCGATCTGCCAACACACACAATGCACTGGGAAACAACGGTCAGCAGAGCCTTGTCTGAACATCCGCAGCTGCGGCCACCGCTTTATCTCCATCGCGATAAGGTCCTCCACAAAGCCCACCGTTCGCGTAAGCATATTTTTCGAAAGGGGCTCTGTTCGATAAAAATTAATTTCCCTTTCCACCACTTTCGCTCGACGATAGCGTGAAACGATACAATGGAACGGGCAAGGCATTGCACGATTTTAATATCCTCAAGCCATTCTGTCCACGTCGCGTGTTATGAGATTGGTCGTGGCCCCCTCCTCGCATAAACACGCAAGATGTAATTTAACAACCAGCTGAGGTCAATATCAGTTCCCAGCGTACATTCAATAAATACAGCGCGCAGTGGGTATATTTCATAGACGGCAGAAAGCACAGACACAACAGCAGCAACGCGAGCGTTCGCTACAAGCTCCATAAATTAGGCGGGGGGACATTTATTTTACGAACTTAGCAGTGTGTGTGTGTGAATGCTTTACAGGTGCTTATACATCTTTGCAAACAAATAATATACAAACAAGCAGGCGAGCGGGCAAATACAAATTGTAAATCTGGAACGCGTACGGCGCGGTAGCTCGTCACAGAAAGCACTAATCCACTGCTTCGGAAGTAATGACTGTCGATTGGTGTGCTTTTTTTGCGGTTACGTTTTGTTTCACAGCAATCCAGAGGCTTGATTGACTCTCCCGTGGGCGCGCGGCACAAGTTCCTTAAATCCCCACCCAGCGGGTGTCAACGGGTGCAGCAAAACTGCTCAATCGGCTTGTCGTGGGGTAAACAGTGGGTACGCGAGACATCTGGCTAGAGAATTGACCGTGTGATTGCTACCCGCTGTCTGCTTCACGGTGGACGTTAAAGATCCCCAGATGGCATCATTCGAGAGGAGAAGGCCAGGGCCAAAATGACCGGCAAGTTTACTCGATTGGGATTGCATGCGGTAGCGTACCCACCCGGTGTGAATTGTAGCGCCTTCCGTCGTGATAGCTTTGCGCTATGAGAAAGATGGCGCAAATATCAAACGTGCGAACTTACGTAGAAATTATTATGGTGGCAAAGTGCGGGGGAGAGAAACGTGCACTAATGTATCTAACGTGAAACCAATCTGAAAAGCGTGGACATATGAGCCGTTATGTAGACACACTGCGTGCACCCTGGAATTGTCCATTTCCCTTAGAGACAGCGACAACACAAACAAACATGCGAGTATGCAAGCGGAACAAGCATTTGTTTATACTGTGAATGTTTTTTTCACGTGCAAAGAATTCTTATTTTTAGGGTAACGGGTCCCACGGCGGGAGTTTAGGAAATCCTCTGGACACTGGCTCAGTGGAACGGAATGTGCAGGCACAGCGCTTTCTGCAAGTCACACTTCACCTGCAGCACACGACCTGCAGGGCGCAAACTTTCCCGACGCGTTTTTGCGTCGTACCGCGCGCACGACGTCCGACGTTTCGCTCCACATGCTGGAGGCTTTCTGAAAGTTATCGAACTGCACGCGGAGGCTCACAGCACGCGCAGCAAAACGTCGGATACCAATGCTGAGCAAACGCGCACCGCACAATGCGTTCGTAGCATTCCGAGGGCCGGGAAGAATTCAGTTCCAGAGCCAATTCGCGTTTCACTCGCTTCCCATGTCCCTTGTCAAGTGAGTCAGGGCGGGCGAACGCACGTGGCAGGCCGGTGCGCCATACGTGGGCACGCACGTGCACGCACGCGGAGGCCTCCTCTGTAGTAAACGTGCACGTCGAGCGTGCGTGCATGCGTGCACGCGGAGACCTCCAATGTGTTTTTGGGTTGCCCCCGCACGTCTCGTTTGAAGCAAGTTCCCGAAGAAGCCCCCCCGGCTCGTGGAATGGAACGTTGGACGTCGGTGCCGAACGAAACGCGGTGCCGCCCGAAAACACACCGGAGAAGACGTCGGACGGCCGGGACGACCCCGGAACCCTCACGCGGTGGTACGACGGGGCGGTAACGGTGGGACGTGATGCATAGGAGCGCTCCAATATTTGAGGGCGTATTCGGCACCTCTGATCAGCACAGTCGCCTACGTACGGTATGAAAGAAGTTCGATAATACATACGTACGTGTACGTATTGCTCCGGACTGTTACACGATCGTGACCTGTGTTTCTGTCTCGGATGTCTGCGTTGTGTTTTTTTGTTGTTCTTGAATAATAATTCGTAATCGTAATGACGCGGCGCGACCGTCACTCGGGACACGGGCGGCAACGGACGCATCAACGCCCACGCGCGTCACGAGAACGCGCGGCACGCCGGCACCAACGAAGCCGATTTACAACTGCACCTCCGCGGTGTTTGGTGGGAGCCTGTGCCATTGCTCTCACTGGAGAGAGCGGCCACCGGATTCCAGAAGCGATTCTCAAAGTGTATTATGAATTTAAAAAAAAACGCAACAGTAATTCAGGAGATGCCACAAAAGATGAGAAGGGAGGTTGTGTATTTTATTATGTCTAAAAATGTTTTACAAGCTTTTAACCAGATGCTCTCACGTACTTAATTCCTATATAAATGGATTCATGAAACACAAGGTATTATTTTCCACAGATGCGTTGGCTGGCAAATGCCAGACGTGTATATTTTTTTACGCAAACTTTTATCCCAATTTTCATATTGAGGATTGTATGCTTTAGCACAAGCACGTGCACACGAATATCGAAATAAATCAATGTATCTAACTTCAACCACGTTTTTCTACTCACGTGTTTTACTTTAAGGTTCAGGTTAGGGTCCACATGTGTACGAGAAATCAACCATTCTCGTTTTGCAGGGTTCACCACCCCAAAGTCAACGATCCCCCGTAGAGTTTGAACAGGCTGCTGGGGCAAGTGCTTTTAGCGAGCAGATACTAAAGCCAACGCGGCACACAAGGGGGTGGGTGGCCAGCACCACGCCGGGCCGCCTTTGCCTCCCCAATGCTGATGTTTACACACTGCACCAGGTACTAATTTAAGGCCAGAGCAGACTAGGGAAGGCCGGGAGCAGTTCAGATATTTGTCACCGATGTTGACTGTGAGCGGATATCGAACTTGGGTCACCAGTTTGCACTAACCATGACACTACCGCTCCACACACCACACCAGGTGTTACCCAACACACTACAATAATTGACAAAGTGTATTTGTTCACATAACATGTCTGCAAAAAGGACCGTATCAAATCTTGAGGCTCACGATATCTCTATCGAATCACCAGCGTGAGAACTCGATGCTTTTGGAAATGTGACATTTTGACTTTGACTTCTGAAGCAGACAACACTGCACACACGAGATATAAAAAAGGGAAGAAGCTAGACAAACAGGATGGCAAAAACGAGCCGAGAAATTAAAGTAAATGTGCATCGGGTCTCCGCCATGGATTGTGACAATTAACGGAACAGCGGTGGACTCATTTGCCCCAGTCCCGTAGGTCACATGTCCGACTCGCCCGGCGACTGATGATGTGTAAGCTGGATACCTGACTAGATCGGCTATGTGAACATCTGTAGGAAACATTTGCACCATGCCAAAGGCTGATCTAAAACTTCCTAGGAGGGGGCGGCGATGGTGGAGGGCTCGTGACCGCCCGTCTTCACCTGGACTCGTCACTGTGGACCCCGAGGTTTTCCACGCTTGCCGAGGGCACATTTTCGTCTCACTCAGCTGCGTCGGAATTGCGTTGGGTTGGCCAGCCCCGGCGCAGACAAAGCAAGTCTTTTATTGACATTTTAAGTGCAATCGCTGCGAGGGATTGTGTTTTACATCGATAATGTTATTACAAGCAAGCATGGCCACCACAATAGCATCTTTTGTACTTACAGTGTATTGAGGTTTTTTAACTTCTTGAACGCTCCTGGGGGAATTTCTCGGATTCTGTTGAACCTCAGGTCCCTGTAGGAAGAGGAGAACAAAACAATGCATGACTTGTCAGGGACACAAAAAGACTCCTCGACGACAGCGAGCTCAGCGACAATGCCACAACCTCATCATCCCGGCACGTGGTTCTGGAGAGCTCCTCTTATCCGCGGTGACGTGGGGGATGGAAATCACGGATACTATCATCCGTGGGGTTATCTGTGCACTTACTCCGTTCGTCCATTAAACAAATTGCGGATAACACGAGGCATTTTACAAGTAGTTGCTCTTATCTGCGAGACATTTATTCCGCAATGCGGTTTGGTAAAAAAAAACTGCGGCTAATCCCAGATAATAGGAAGAATCGGGGCAAAGACAATAGGAGTATTTTGCAGACCCTACTGCTTCTTGTAGATAATAAAACCACAAAGGCAGACCCCTGGCGAGTTTAAACCACAAAGAAGATCACTGCCTCGTAAGTTAGAACGGTGGTGGAGTCTATAGCGCGTTGCACCGTGAATCCGGCGACCTGAGTTCGAATCCGGGCCATGGCTAACATCAGTGATGAATGATATATGAAACGGTCCTAACTTTCCCTGCCACATCACCAACCCGCATTGACTATCGTTTGATTAAGTACGGTGATTTTAAAAAAACCCGCACGACCTGTACGGCGTGGGTAGGCCGTCATCCAGCAGTGGACTGACATGAGGGGCTGTTCGTGTGCGTATTCGACCCAACGCTGCCTCCCACCCCTCTCTCCGCCTTTGCCGCACGCTGTAGAATTCGTTTGAAGAGCTCCCGTCCTTGTTTTATTTCCCTGTTGCGCACGGCGGGCTGACCCCGATAACTTTGGGCCCTCTCCCACAGCCACCCGCCCAAATGTAATTCGCTGGGGCGCACCATTAGAAGGCTCACGCCAGAGAACCCTGGCACCACCATCGAGGCAAGTGCCCAATCACCGGACAGCACAGCCACGATGTGTGAAAAAGCAAGGCAGCTTTCACTGCCCAACGATGCCATTAATCTCACGAGCACATTGTCCGCAATGGCGGCATTTTAAAGGTCAACATTTTCACAGTATTGTGCCGATAGATGAGAAACTCTTGTTGGATTTGGGATAAAAAAAATTGTATTTGTCGGCCATTTTGAGAGGGTCGTGCCGCGTGCTGTTTGGCACGATGTCCGACGTTTTGCTCCACGTGCTGGAAGTTTCTCCAGGGTTCTGCACTTTTATGCTCCCACATTTTCTCTCAACCCGAGAGCTATACAGCGCAACTGTGAAAAATCTAGGTAGCAGTATTTTTTTTATCATTTGCATATGTTTTACCTCGGACACCCTTACATAAGAGTAGTTCCATCTCAAGGGATATTCCAGTGAAAATATTTTTTTAGAAAATATATATTTATATATAATGTACAGACCTTTGTCAATCAACACCTGAATGGAAGCCTCCCCATGCCTTGTCAGTCATGGGGAGTTTGACCATACTTCACCACGCCGGCCAGTGGTCATTGCAGGTTGCTATATGCAGTACTGTCTAATAATAAACATCTGTAAGGCGCACTTCACCTCGTAGCTGCCAATGCGCCCTGTGAGGAAATCAGGAAATAAACAGAACCAGGGTAAATGGTCAGAATTCGGGGTAAATGCCAAATTAAAGAGGGGCGTTTTCAACAAGGACGTAAACGTCTCGAACGACTCCAAATGTCTGATTATATTACCAACGGCAAAGCATCCTGCAGTCTGGAAGCTGCACTGACAATAGCCCGATCACCCGAGGAAATGAGCCTTGACCTCGGAGTAATTCGAAGAAGGAGATCCAAAGATCTCGGGGACATTGTTGGAGTATAAAAACGGACCAGTTCCTGTAAATATTGTGGGCCTTATCAGGTAAAATAAAAAAAAAATGCGTTTCATAGTGTTCGCATTGAGAGGCTTGTAAGTCAGCAGCAGCAGGATCTTATAATTCACTCAATGTACCACCATTTCACAGTGGTCCATTGGGGAGATATTTAGTCTAGTAATGTAATGTGCAGATGCACAGCATGCTTTGCCAGCTCATGCTGCATTAACATCATGGGATGTGTTTTGCTTGGGGATATTACAATACCCTTAATAAAGATAACTGGGTCATACATTTTCAGTAGTGTGCTGAACACAGTAACTTAGCAAAGCAGCCTTGTTTGAATTTACATTTGTTTGCCCAATTCCAATTTCTACATGGAGATCAAATGCATTTTTTTTACTCCGTTTACACTAATATGCTGCAAGCACTGTTTGCATTATCACGTGATAAACTCACATCCTGTGTTCTTTTATCTGGGGAAAAGTTGCCACATTAGCATGTAAATAATTACAAAAACTCCCCAAAGTGCCGCATTTGAATTAATCAATTCTGCATACATTTCCAAAGCGTCCTATACTCCACACATGGGCTACAGAAATAGAGTAATAACAAAAACATAAAGGCACAGCCCTACAATTACTTTGTCACGCCGAAAGAGAGGAAGCATCGAGAGACCCTCTCTAGAAGATACTTGGCCTACTCTTCACACTGGAAGAATCTTGGCAGAGGTGGAAGCACCAACGCTTTACTTCGCCACAAGTGACCTACCGATCGAATGACTGTGGTCTCACCCATGGGCACAACTGGGTGGGCAGGAGCTGGAGAATTTCAGAAACCCACACCGGTTCGATCGGAATCGAACCGGCGATCTCTGGATCGCGAGTCCAGCGCGCTAGCCATGATGCAATTAGGCCACGGGTTAAACACGTGTCATCTCCTCGTAATCTTCCAGCGGCATTCTCGCGAAACTCGTTCACAGACGGGGGTCACCCAGCCACCACCTGGCCAGGTGCGTGCGAGGCTTCTTGGCACGACTGCCGTCTGGCGGAGAGCTGTCCGCCGGTTACGAGGTGGCACTGCCAAACGCCTGAGGGGACCTTCAGCGGTAGCGAGGCGGAACGAGATGAGACCTGCGGACAATGCGCTTCCACGGGCCAATGAATGTCCAGAGAGGGATCGTGTTTACATTTGTCCTCATCGTGCGCCCACATCTGTGGACAAAGAACTCTTCAAAAGCGGGGAGTCAGCACCACAGGGTCGCCATTCATCATGCCACGCCAGCCAGCGGCTGATAGCCTGTGACAGCTTCAGCTGCTACGGTTTTCGAACAAAACACACACAAAAATAGTTTACGGAGTAATAGATTTTTTTCTTGACCTTATAACAGCTTCATTAATAACGAGGCTCGTAACAGCTTGGCAAACCCCTTGCAGCGGTGTCCATTCGCGCTGCGTAATTCTCGCTTAACCCGACCAACCCCAGTCCACCCAGGTAAACATTTTCGCCCCAGCCCGGCCCGAATATAAATGCAGGAAAATCAATCGCCTTGATGGGATCTCAAACTGTTTTCGTGACCCCTAGGCAAATGTCTCTCCGTGTCGATAATGGTGGCTGTGAGAGATTAGAGGTGAGGGTAATTAGTGGAAGGGCTGCAGAAGATCCCACGATTGTGGCCCTTGCTTGTGCATGAAAGGGCTTCACGCGTTGGCTGAATGCCCTCGCTCAGAGGTAATCTGTTAGCGGCAGCATTGGTATCGCCAACACAACGCAACGAAGAGACACGCACACAGCGGGCTGCGTGACACACAGCTGATGGGACCCAAATTACTTTTACAAAAAAAAAATGTCATAGCAAAGCGTTTTAGTTTGAAAAAGACCTCCCTCACTTTTGACTTTTAAAAAATATACAAACCACAAGACACAGCCCTTTGTCAATCCACTGCTGGACGAAGGCATAACCACACAACATGTTTAGGCATGGAGGTTGTTTGACTATACTTCACCACGTTAGTTAGGGCACAATAGTGAAGCGAAGGGGTGGCAGAACCGATTTAAGTATTACTTGCTACTGAATGATATCTGGGCCATCGCACTCAGATCCCCAGTTGAAGAGGAGGGGGAAAAGCAGTTGGCAGTGCATTTAGAACGGGAAAGTTATTAATCATTGCATATGACCTGTTATGACTTATGGATCACTAACACAGACACTGACAAACGAACAAGAAGGTTAAAAAGTGCAGAAGCATTAAGAGATGGACCCTGGGGACTGCATTAGGTGATAGAAAGAGGAACGCGTGGATATGTTGTTTGTTAAAGTGCGTGGCTTTGGGCAGAGCGCATGGCTAGAAGGGATGGTAGCCGGTGGACGAGACTGGTAATGGAATAGAAGCTAAAAGAGAGAACACGCCAAAGACAATGACCACCACAGGGATGTAGCGATGACGTTAACTCACGTGCTGGGGCAAGACGGATTGTGAAGTTGCAGGATTGTAAGAGGTGGCGACAATTGTGGGGAGGACTTCCTCCAGCAGTGGGTTCATCATGGCTGATCGTGGTGATAATATACAGGATATGGTGCAATTACCCAATTGTCAATGGGTTATTCTTCTTTTGTTAATACATCAATTGCTACAATCGCATAAAAACAAAGCGAAGACTATGGTCTGTGCGAATGACTTGTTAAACATCACACTGAATTCCACAAACGTCTAGACTTGAAAAAAATAAAGTCTACTGGCAATGAAGCTATAAACAGAATGGTTCCTAAAAGGCGATAAGGATGATCGTTCCTTGAAAAGGTCACATTTCTCTGAATGTTGGTTCGAAGAAATCCTCTGTAAATTAACCAACTGTAAGAGACCATTACTGTGGCATGTAATGGCTTGCGCAAAAGCATCGCATTAACCAACACACAAGCTGTCTCCTCGCACAATAAGCAAATTCATCGAGAGGCAAGTTTCAAAACTGGGGACTTGGCATGAAGCCAACAGATACTTCAACGGGTCTCCTGTGATTGGCACAGACTCTGCGCAGAAACCTGCAGTTTCAGCGAGTATGAAAAACAATCTCTCTCTGTCACACACAGACACACGCACATGCGACAGTGCCAAAACTGCAATTTCACAAGTCAATGCGTAACTTTGCGTTTTGTTTTAAGTCCTGCGAGCATTTACAAATAAATAAATA